TGATTAGAAATAAAGTTATATGCCTTTTTAAGTTACTATGTCCTTATGTGACAAGACTTTTGTCCTAATTCCATGACAAAACTCAATGAATGATGCAAAACTTTATTTTGGTATAATAAGCATAATCTAGAGGGCTTTGCCTTTTCTTATAAGCCATTTCTGATTCCAACTAATTAACTACAGGTCAAGTTATTATTTGTTGTTCCTACAACTTGGTTAAGCGACAAGACTTTTGTCAGGCACTGTAGATATTTTGGGTGGGCAGAATTTCACACAATGGACTATACTACAGTGCAGTAGCGGCTTGTCACCAGAGAAACAGTGGAGAGGCGCACGGGCACTTTCATTTTATGTTTGAACTATTTATGAACTCTACATTATGCTGTCATGGTCATCTCTCTAATCAGGAAAACAAATTATTATTATTATTATTATCATTATTATTATTATTATTATTATTATTATTATGTGATTTCTGTAAGGTGCATTGGATAGATGTGTCTGCTAACCAAACATAAACTTAACATAATCATCAGTTTATCTACTGGCATATTAAAGGCAAATCTGGAATTCAAACTCATGAACTGGTATATAAGTACATGAGCAGAACATGTAACATGAACAGTAATATAGTGGAATGGATACTCCTTAAACAGAAAAAGTTTTAAAAGATAATTACCAAAACATAAACAAACTGTCTTTGCAAACAAAGGTGGAAGCGACCCGCACTGCGTTGTTGCGAAGTGGGCAGGCCAGCATTACTTCCGGGACTGCCCGCAGTAGCCGCCCACATGGTTCGAAGGCACCGGTCCCGAGCAGCTGTAGCTGAATTGCTGGTAGGAAGCTTTGATTTGGGTAACAAAAATTGTTGCATGTTGTTTACGGTTGTGTACAGTATGACTAATTTAAGTGAATTATAGCACAAAATCTATCTAACCAGGTAACTTTAGTTATACACAGCGCTGACAGGGCTGTCAACTCTAAGGCATCGTTCCACTCACGATACACGTAGACCTCACTCGTTCTTTATTTACGTCGTTCGTTATCTTGTTAGTTATTCGCTAAGATCGATCGATTTCTGGAAAACCACCCATGTTTAACTATTGCAGTGCAAAGCCTGCTGGCGTTATTTATGGGTTCTTTTTATATGCTTCCGTTTCCTCTAAATCATGTGACCTCATGGAAGCGCTTTTCTGTCCTATGTAATGCTCAGTAGATGGTTTCTGTGCGACTCTAGGCGGCGAAGCAACCAGTGAAGTTCGGTAATGAGACACCGCGTTAACACCAAACGTATTGCTCATTCTCTCTAAGTAAGATACAGATATAGGAATGTTTCATTGCATACATTGTCCTTTAGCCTTTTCATTTGAGATTAAAAATATTAATTTTAAAAATTAGTATTTTTTATTAATTCAGAGAAGATCTAAAAAAAAAGTTTTTACTTACAGGTGGGCTGCACCTATAGAGGTTGATATTTAATTAAATAAATCTAAACCCTGCTCAGCAAAATGTCAAAATTAACTCCCATAGTCATTTAGTCATTTTTACAGTCTGAACGTGAAGGTTGAAACTTCGACAGTGATAGTAGAACTTTAATTTTATTATAATATTATATTATATTATAACAATTTGAAATCTAATAGAAATAAGGTTTTGCAATGGGTGCACTCCATTTTCTGGAAGTGTATCACAGTCTGAATTTTATACAATGGCAGTTAAAGTAAGGAGAATGTTGAACACTCTGACATTAAGTGGTTGATAGCCTATCAATTTTACAGTACAAAAAAACTGCAAAAAAAAAAATCATAATCCATTCTGTGGTGCGTTTCCTGAAGCCTTCTTAACGCTGTCATTCGTAAGTTCTACCTTAAGTCGTACCATAACGTTCCGACGCGGTTCCTGAAACGTCCTTAGTTAAGTATACCTTCCGTAAGACATACTTTCGTAAGACTGGTCTGAGCTAGTGGTGTAGATTTGAGTAGTAGCGAGTAAGTAAGTAACGAATACCAGGCTGTAACTAATCGTTACGAGTATTCAGCCGTTCAAGGATTCGTTGCTGACAGTAAGGAAATGACTGATCAAAAAGCCCAATCGATACTCGTCTTGCAGACGATGTTGTTTGCGCCCATTGCCTGCATGTTGTATGACCCACATACAAATCTGATGGGGGGGCTGGGTCACTGCACTTACTGGCCGGGGTAATTAGTCGCTCATCGCCGTTCTAACAACAGAAGATATACGTACTGTATGTCTTAATGACGTCTGTGCCCAGTGAACGGATATTTTGTAAGAGTGGCCAGCTAATTAACGAGAGCCTTGGCCGGCTGTCAGCTGAAAAAGTGCAAATGATCATGTTCATTAACAAGAACCACAATCTTTGTTCGTGCTTGACATCACATTGACTTTTGAGTTGACTGACTGCATGATAAGCCTATAGTTACGTAGGCCTACTGTTAGAATAGACCTATTGCATAAATATTCATAATAGAAATGACAACATTCCGATTTTTCTTTCTTATCTTTATTCAGTAGGTCATATTTTTTATATAGGCTCTCAATTTTGAGAAAGCAATCATGATTGCAGTTCTTACAACCAACAATAGCATCATGCGTCAAATTACTCACACTAACGCGATGCTGCTAAGCTCTGTAGGCTTACGGACTATATGGTACAGTATAGGTAGCAGCATTCATTATTGTATGCATACCCAACCCAAGTAGTAACGAGTATTGGGTAACGAGTATTAAGTAACGAATACTGGACGAGTACTCGGTAGTAACGATTATTCAAAAGTAACGGATAACCACGTCACTAGTCCGAGCCGCTTCTACCTGTCTCATCGCTATTTCCTGCTCATACCGCTAGTGGCCGCCACTGTTCGGACCCCATGCCTCTAAAATGATGAAGATGCTGTTAAGCAATATGTACTCTAATCATTCAATACTTGTGGGGTGATTGGGGTGCGTTGTATATCATAACATAGCAATGGTTACACATGCAGCACATGCAGCACAGATGTAAGAAACAGTTTAACACAATTTTCAAATAAAGAAAAGGTGCTATCATTTGAAATAAGACTAACATTGATAATTGTTCATTTTCACAACTAAACATCACTTAACGAAAAAATAACAGATCCATATGACAAAATGATTTTGTCTGATATATAAGTAAAATCTTTGTTAGGTATATGTTATGTCCCATACGCACCGAATTGGCTTCATCCACACGTGGATTCATAATGAAAGATAAGGAACACGCTGTTGATTATTTAATTTGTTTATTAATTGGGAAGGTGGTGGTGCTGATGGGGGGGTATTTCTGTTGCCCCTGGAATCCACACACCTCTCTAATATGCCAAAGTCACAGAATATCACAACTTTGGTTCATGACGATGATAAGTGTCGACACTGCAGGTTCATTTACATGTAAATCTAACATTTTTTCCCTAAAAAGCACTCTGGAATAGTCCTTGGTAGTCAATAATGAAGCACATTGGACATTCTGTTATGTTACGACAGTAATGCAACTTTTCATTCGGCATTTTTGCCATTGCTTGTTCCTATATCAATGACATGCACACATACAGTACTGGTGCATGCAGGTGTTTTATAGAAAAAAAATAAAAATAAAAATAAAATGGTCTAATAATACAATCTGGGGAGGTGGGTTCAGTTTGTTAGTTTTTTATTTTATTTGTAGGTTCTCCCCCGTTCTGATTAATGCAATATTTTGAAGCATTTGTGCAGTATTGTTTTTATAAAGGACACCACTTTCTCTCATGCCGCAGGCAAGCAGCTGCCGCATGGAGGGAATAATCGATTCTCGAGACATCGATGTCAACCAATCAGCTTCCGGTGTCCAACGCTGTAAGTGACGTTGCACTTAAAAATCTCTCCCTTAAATGAAAGGTTACGTTGACATAATGGTAAGTATTTATTCAGAGTACTGAATGGGTTTTTTTCAAGGGCAATATGTGCAGATGTGTATTCTGAATACAGGGACTGGGTTACATATTTACACTGACCAATGACTACTCTCTTTTTTTCAGGGAGGATGGGCAAAGCCAATATATAGAAAATTTTTCATGGAAATGCTCTGCCCATTTCTTTAAAAGAATCACATTGTTTTATCTGCATGGTGATATCTTATTGTACTTTGCCTCAAACAAAGGACTGGATTTTAGGTTGATACCACTACTCTTCTACTACCTGCACCGCGTGCTTGAGCAAAGCCTTAACTTCCGAGTTACTTCACATATATATTTGTGTGAGAGACCTTCTGTCTGTCTTTTATTTCTTTTTTAAAGATACTACAGCCTGCAGCCAGTTTTTGCTGCTCATGGCTACTGTCTATCCAACCATGGCTGTCACAGCTCCAAAAGTACTTAGTTTCCTCAGCTGGAACCTAAATGGCCTAGCAAGTGCATTAAAAGAAGGAAAGGAAAAGAAGGAACTCATGTCCAAGAAAATGGATGAGGTGGATGTTGTTTTCTTTCAAGAAACCCACATTGGTGAAGGCAATGAAAAGCTTATTCAGAGATTTACAGACTGGCATTTACATTACACAACATATGACACGGCAAGAAGAGGAGTGGCAACATTGGTAAACAGAAAGGTACATTTTAGTCTGAAGGGAGAGATTAAACATAATGATGGAGGTTACTTAGTTCTGATTTGTGAGATTGAAGGTCAGCCGTACACTCTGGTGAGTGTGTACAACCATCAGACAGACACAGATATTCTGAGGGAACTATCATCAGTTTTGCAGGAACATGCCAGCGGGATGTTAGTGATTGGAGGAGACTTCAACACTGTACTCAACCCTTACATAGACAAAACGTCTCCAACACCCAATCAGGATCATTTGAAATTATTGCCTCATCTTAAAACATTCATTAGATCTCTTCAGCTGGTGGACGTCTGGAGGAGAAGAATCGAAAACAATCGCTTCTATACTTTCCATTGTAAAAAGAACACTTCAAGGATCGACTATTTCTTCCTGCCAGAGGAGTGTCTGTGGCGTGTGCAGAAATGTGAAATTGAGGACATTCCTTCTGATGACCATCTTCCTATCAGCCTTCAGCTGAATATGGAAGTCATTAGAAAGGATCCAAACCTTGACAGTGAAGACCAGCATAGACCAGACTATGAAACCTCTGTCAGTGTTTGTATGGGGAATTTGTCTTTTAGTCTACAGTGGATTAAGGATGATGATATTATTGAGGCTATCAAATCTCTACAGATGTCGGACACACCAAGACCTAATGGAAGACCTGTTACTTCCTACAAGTCAAACTATTGTATAGATTTACAGAGCCTCTACAACAAGATCACTGATGGATCATTTGACTGTCAAAGTCATCAATTTAACAAATCCATTCCAAAGCAGACCTTCCGTTATTTCAACATGGCAGACTTTACAACAGACCCAGAATATGATGACCTTGGAAGCTTTCTTAAGGACAATGCATTTGATAACAGCAACATTCGCAAATCTTCAGACAATAAGTTCTCACTCCCTTGGCAGATATTCCATTTCTTCAATGTGAATTATGTCATTTTAGCAACGATTCTTGCCAGGCGCCTGGAAATGTGCCTGGAGTCCAAGCAACCAGAAAAACCTCTACAGCCTGACAACGAGAAATACCTGGCAATGTATTACCACTTCATTCAGCGTGAAACAGTAGCAGTTTATTGGCAACTTATTGAGAACAGTCTTGAAAATGTTGTTACAAATGATTGCGAGAAGTATTTAAAAGCCCTAAAGAACATCCTCAAGAATGACCCTTCTAGACCACAACACAAGCTGCTGTGCCATGGTTGCCCTTTGACCCCAGTACTTCGAAGTTTCCTTCTAAAGTATTATGCTGAAAAAGACTTAAACAGACAATCACAGGTCTGTGTGTATGGGGACTATGCAATTTCAGTTGTCCCAAGAGAGAAATGTAAGTACAAGATTGAAGGAGATGGCGGGTATAGAATCATATGCACCATCGCAACCGCTCCTCATCTTACTCGTGATTCACTCCACAGGAGAAGTGGATCACCCTCATCTCCCTTCTTTTTTGATCATATTCTGTCTGAGAGGTACTGAAATGAATGTTAGATAAATGAAATGCACCCCAGACCCCTCAGCTAATATAAAAATTGTCTATGTTTGTTTCAAAAAACTACCTAGTAGAGGCCTACAGCATGTCTTTGGGATTAGAGGAAATTCAGCACCGCTCTGGTTTTTACTCCCCTTGCTTTGTCACTCCGTTAGAGAGTGTGGAAGGAAAACTGTTACGGGTCTGAGAAGACATGCATGTTGGGTAGCTGTCACTATCTTAGGTCTTAGGCATGAGGAGAATTCCGGGTCATATTGGGGGAAGTGGGCTATCAAACAGAGCTTACAGGAAACCTGTGGCTACTTCAAGAGTCTGTCAAGACGAGAATAGCTGTTTGAGGTTAAAGAAGACGTAGGACCTCCAAGGAATGGGACCAAACTCTACTGGCGAGTTACTCTGAAGGAAACCTATTGATCATAAATTGCAATATGTCAGGATGTGCTAATGCAGATGATATTATATGAATAAGGGAACATATATGCTTAGGATAATAGTAGTAACAATGGTATTTAGCTACTGGGAATAGTTTGAACCATGGGTGGGCTTGTGACAAACTTTGAGGGAGGAAGTACGAGGTCAAACAGTGCAGGGTGAGCTGGGACAAGACAGGTGCATGGGGGAGGGGGCGGTCACATGATCGTTTTGGGATAGGGTAACTAATGGGGTAACCAAAGCAACTATGTAACCAAAGCAACTATGTATAAGTGATGTGCCTTTTGAAGTGGCAACTAACTATAACTAACGTAACTCTTGAAGTATTAACCAATCATTGTTAATGAGCTTTTTGATAGGTGAATCGGCTTACTATTAGCAGTTATGTTTCTAATACTCGGTACAAGTATGTACTGTACAAATAATCAATGTAATCTACATATGTGATTACCTACATTGTATGAAACCAAACAATGTATTGTCCCCATACTACAGTATGTGTTAATTTTGGTAAACTTTGAGCATATAATTTATATGGCATGTGATTTGAACATAAAAAAATAGTATTTGCTTTTTAAATGTAGCATTTCAGCTGTTATCACATTACTTAATGTCTGCATGTAGTTCCAGTTTTATTCCTGTTAATCCACTATAACAGTATCTTATGATACCCATCACTTGTTCCATTATTATTTTAACTGTGTAATATAATGACCACTGAAATAACTGTACAATAATTACTTAAGTAATAATAATAATAATATGCTGTGTTCATCCATCTATCTGTCTATCTATCTATCTATCTATCTAATTGTATTTTATTTTATTTTTTTGTTATTTGTCTACATACCTCCCTAATCTCGCAATACTTGTATTCTTGGCTGGAGCAACTGTAACAAAACCAAACTTCCCCCAGGGATTAATAAAGTATTCTGATTCTAACTCATATATACTGTATTAGTAGTTATGGTTGTGTTCTTATTTGCATTATCAAGAAACATGGTTTTGGTCTGTGTCTCTGTACTGTTAGTCTAGGTCATGGTCTGGGCATTGAACAAGATTTCTAGCATGATAAAGATGATCACCACACATTGTTCATGTCCTTTTGGTTGTTTGCATGAGTACGTCTCATACATCACTTGAAGAAAGTGCAGGTAATTGCACGAATTGATATGTGCAGGGAAATACACACCTGCCAACCAGACAAACAGCTGTCCACCTAATCTTACTGGGGTGGAGCAAATTAACTAAATTTGCAGCTAGATTTCATGAAGGCCTGAAAAAGTCATTATTGCAGTAGTATTATGACACAATCCTGCAACTATTAACTTTTACCTTTCTTACGAATATAACATGCCTCATTAAAAATAGTGTTTTCTTCCTACAAAATAATATAGTGGCCATATAATGCCACATTGGTATCAAAGGCTCAGGCAGCTCAAGCATCTGAAATAATATGAATAAAGAGAATGTTAGAATCTCTTGGATCTCTCCAGCCTGAAGAAGAAGGAGGAAAGGACATTAAGTTATTTGTGGAACATGGATGACAGCAAGGTTTTCATGCAAAGCTTGTCAAGGTGATTTTATTTGTCAACTGAAATTTGGACTTACTCCAAGCTAACCATCGTCGCCCCCCCCAAAGCCCCCCCCCGCTTGTACTTGGACCCGTAGTCCGAGCTCCACCATTTTGTTGAACAACGGCAGCTTGTTCTGAAAAGATCCATTTGTGTTCTAGGTTCTTGGAAAACTAGCAATCGGATAGTTGTTTTGCCTTCACGTAGTTCTGCTCTCCACTCCCCCGGAGTGACATTCCACACAAACAAAAGCTTCCATGGCCCCCAGCAGCCAATTCTGGGGTGTCAGAGAGATTTTTAGCGCCATTGTGATGAGATCCTGGATGTATACAGCCTGGGTCCATGGGGCATGCTAGTTTTAATGAGAGCAGTTACACACAAATAGGCAGATTGTTACAAAGTTACAATATTATTCCAGTATAAAAGAAAAAATTATGTCTCGTAATTTCTTCCATGTTGTATGCAATTGTTTTTCAAACTATTTTCTTTTTTTCCAGAATAATTAAAACTCTACAACATGACAAGCTCATATAAAAGTGGATTACCTGCATTATTGGGTAAAAGAGGAAACATGATCTGAATGAGTCTGACTACTATAAAATAAATGTGCATAATCCAAAGTAAGAATTAAAGTGATTTATTTGTTAGATTGAATATCCTGCCTGTTTTATTTTTCAATGTTTTTGACTATAGGGCTTCATAAATAAGACCCTTGTTGTATTTTACACCCATAAAATAGAATGAGATAATAATCCGTGACATCCATTCATTTCCAATCCAAGTCATTTACAAATGCCCCATTCTTTCTTTTTTCTTTCTTTCAATCTTTCGTTCTCTCTCTTTCTTTCTTACCTTCCTTCTCTGACATTTTATGTTGCCCACTTGTGTATACTTTGCACGGTATAGTTTTCCATGCTTCTGGTGATCCCTAAAAAGTAGTGCTGTAGTTTTTGCGTTTGTGTTGGGTTCGATGTTCGTGCTGATTTAGGCACTGCCCTCATCCCTGCTTGACCCTCTGGCCTCAAAAACACACTGGTGGAGAATATCATACTGAGCGATGACGCGAGTGGGTTTTTCTCTGGAGGGTTTGGGTTACGGTCTACCGTGATCACAAACTATTTAACAGCTTTCCCTCAAGCCACTTAATTAACTGGTCAGGTAAACTTTGCAAATCACTACTGTGTATCTAGTCAAGTGTCACAAAAATCTATTCAATTATATACCAGTAAAAAAGATCCACTTATCTTGCCTCCTTTTGGCATCAAAATCTGTACTCAAGCTAGACTCTCCTCAAAGCAAAAAAAAAGAAAAAAAACTTTTCTACAACACAATTTTCACTCCTCCAGTAAAAATCGTTCCAATGCTGTAGAGCAGGGGTGTCAAAATGAAGTCCTGGAGGGCCACAGCCTTGTGTAGCTTAATTAGTTCTTTTCCTGTTCCACCACAAATGTGTGTTAAATGAGGGGAAACCCAAAAATGTGCAGGGCTCTGGCCCTCCGGGACTGGAGTCTGACACCTGTGCTGTAGAGTAAAACTCATTTGACAAATACAACCATGTGAAATGTTTCATGACTCAAATACACTTCCCACTTGAACAATCCAATAATTGTTCAGCAAAGCAAAATAAGAACATCATATAAGAAAAAAAAGCAATTCTTCTATGAAGGTTTTATATTATTTCTGTAAATGTGTATTTTTTTTAAATCAAGCATCATTTTAATAGGGTCCAAGCGCTACAGAATCACAATCGAGCCCGCACAGACAGCACTGCTCCTGTCTTCGGAACCATGTGAGCAAACGCCGCGCGCCGCCTGCGCAAGCCGATGTCGACACCGCACTGCCGGGGCGAGTCACGTGGCTCTCACGTGACACCGGAGTCAAGCGCAGTTGCGGAGCGTCGGACCCAAAGATAGGGGGTAAGCGGTCACATAATAAAAATTGCTTTGTCAATATTGACTAGCGGATTGATTTTATATTATGCGCAGACTAGGTTCATTATCGGTTATTTTTCGCAGGTTTCGCTGTCCAATGGCCAGTTCAACCTGGTGTGATTTGTCCAAAAATGCAAAGTTCCCATATTGCAAGTGAGAAAAGAAGAAATAAACAAAATTAGCTAGCTTTTCCGTTCCCGGTTTTCATATGCTTTAGTGAGACATTAAACCCGATAGCTCCCAATGAAAATGTGATGTAAATTAGTTCTTGTACTTAAAAGAAAAATGTAGTAGCTTTTAATCATTTTACTGATTTTTTTTTTTATTAGGACGCAGCTGCTGTGCCAGTGGAAGTATAAATTAATCATTTCTCAGGATGCGATCTTACAAAATTAATACCAGGTGTCCACCCATTGTATATTACAGATGTTCCGTGATTTTTTAGTGGAGCAGAACATGGTGTGTAAAAGGTTTTCTAAGTGATTTATTCCAATCTTGACGCGTTTTACCGGGGATTAGATGTAACGGAAAGGATGGGACGTTAATTAATTTAATGAAATTTGCATAGTCTGTTACTATAATAAAATGACATTGTATTTAACCATCAGTATAGTGTTTCTAAACGAAAGTGTCCTTTGTGCTAATGCGTACCGCAGTAAATTATAACCTTGGCAATGATAATGCAGGTAATGCAATGGTTAAGTATATGAACTTGTGCCCAAAGAAGTTGCGGCTTCAGACGCAAGTGGCGGCAATATTGTAACAGGTTATCTAACATGCAATATCGTTTTTCATTCACTTCTATAAAAACAGTCTGCAACTAACTCATCGTGATTCAGTGAATAGAGATTAAGATGGTTTAATCTGCATTTGGCCGAAGAATAAATTTTGGACCACATATTAAGCAATCTAAGGAAATGCGTTTTGAATGCTGGCATATTCTTGTAATATTTAAAGCGTTTGTACATCTTCTCTTCATCACGCACCTTATATCTTTGCATTATTACACACATTATATATACTGTTACTGTGGTCATGCAGATTTTCTTACTAATTGACCTTGCGAGCAGATTCCACATTGAGTCATTAATTCTGCAATATCGAAAAGGTTTATCATATGACTGATACTCTATATCTTTACTCCTCTGTGGTCGTTTCTTAAGCTTTAATATTATAATTAGGACCATGTTTTTAGAGTGAGAGAAAAAGTACAGTTTCAAAAATTGACCCACTCTGCCAATACCTGCCCTACAAAGGACAGAAGTTAGGGAGGGTTTTTTTTTTTTTGGAATATACACTTATATACATGAGAAGGTTTTTCCGGTGTTTAATGCCTGGTGACCAGCATCTAGACTGTGTTAGATGAAAAGGGCTTTGTGGCTTGGCACTGACAACAATTTAGAAATTTTAAAAGGGGGGGGGGGGTATGAGTGTTATGATTTATAAAGCATCTAATCAATCATAAGTCGTGGTGGTATAGATGTGTGAGGAGAATATAATACAGAAATCCCATTATACCCCCACAGAATACACTGTATTATTTGTGTTATAACGCAGACTGTTATTGTGTAAACAAAGGGCTTTTAAAATTAATTCTTAAAAATCAATAAAAAGGAAGGTGATGCTAAAATAATTAGTCCTAAACTCATTTTGGCTTTAGTTTCGGGGAGCTCGTACTGCTGTACTTTGAACACAGAAACAGACTAAAGTACTCTGCCTAACAATTCAGCAGTACTATCCCTTCTTGTATTAGAAAGTTCTGGTGAAACTCCGGATTCCTAGACCACTAAACAGCTCACTAGATGCTGTAATTGCTGTTATTTTTCTTACTCACGAATGCCTGTTTAATATTCAAAACCAGTGTTTCTTTGAATTATAGGCCAGGAAGGCATTTAGCATGCTTGCGCTGTAACATATTTAATAAGACAGAATTTAATGTATATTTCTGCTATAAAAAGTTTGGTTTTTTTGCTGAATTTTTTGCTGAAGTGTAGATTTTAAAAAATGTTTTATATGCTGATATTGTACTCTGTTCACAGATCTTCTCGTGACTGAGGATTTCCAGAGTTTTCCGGGGGTCGGGACAAAGCTGTTGCCAACAGGAGGAAGTTCACCATGGTTGGGAAGCTGATGCACGCATTTTCAAAGCCTGAGAGACAACTGTGCTCTCTGCAGTGACATCCTGAACTGGATGCATCATATAATACAATATTCCAAATGGGACATGCTTGACTAATTGTGTTGTAAATTATTGTTGAACTTCAATGGCTGTGAACAGAAAATTAGCTGAAGATAATTACTACAGTCTGAAATTTGAATGAAGATTTGAGAACGCACAGCAAAGTTATACCTAAGGATGACCGAATGTCATGAAGTGAGCAATCTGTGTACAGTCACAGTGTGTTATTCAGATACATTGTTTGTTTGCTAACTGCATTGTTGGTGACTAACCTTGTGGGTAAAGCATTCATTTAGTCAAGCAATATCAGTCAGTCAGTCTTCCACATTTTACTGATATTGGGAGGAGATATAGGCTATTTGAGATTTTGCCAAAGAGAAAATTCACCAGGAAATAATCTTAAGGTGTAAAATGTCTAAGCCTAACCCTCCTACATTGCATTGAAATATAAGATATGTATATAAGATAGGTGATATTTTTGCAACAACAGGTGATATTTTTGCAACCTGATGGGTTGTCTGTAGTCCTGGGCAGTATACCAGTTCATCCATTATACCGGTTTTAATTTCCCATACAGTATTAATTTTTCATATACCATTATACCGAAGCATAACTCAATCAACAGCTGTAACGCTTCAATGGGCAGCAAATTATATAATATTGTTCGCTGATAGAAGCGCTATGGATGGCTTTGCAGAGTGCATGAGAGGGGACCCCTGTTATCTGTGCAAACCCTTCTTACCAACAGTTATAACTTGATAACACAATAATTCTCCATATTTAACCGCTCATAGTATTTACTGCTTCAGTCTGTGCCTGAAAATTTGGATTATGTGTAATATAATTAGGTCTGCAATGAAATGCATATTAGTGAAGCAAAACAGCAAATATTGTCGATTCATCGCATAATAATTATTTGTCATTCAATAAATCAAAATCTAATAATTTAATAGAACATGTTGATTATACTATCGAGCTAAATATAAACGATTTTTCTAATAATAACGCACCTTTTTAAAAACATTTGTAAATGTATTTTATTGATGTAAACACTTGTTGCCGTGGTGAGGGTGAACTTGGGGGGGGAAACGTGATATACTGTACTGTGAAACTGCCAGAATCTTAAAACATACCGTGATACAGTATTTTGGTCATACCGCCCAGAATTAGTTGCCAATTATTGCATTTTCATTGTCCTACAGCAATAGTTTATCTTATATATATAAGTGCCATGTAACTTCCTCTGTATTTGCATTGATCAAACAGAATGACCTTAAAAATAAGTCTAGACTTGTTCTTGTGACATTAATGCTGACCCTCCATTAGAAGATGTAAAATTAATGTATATTTTTTATTTTGCCTGCAATTCACTGCAAGGTACTGACACTAAACCCAACCGCTTTTCCTACCTGACAACAAGTCTGGTCATTCAGTAGGGATGCTGGCCGCTCTGGAGCATGGTCCCATCCTCTGCAGCGACTCCAACATCCTGTGCCTGTCCTGGAAGGGTCGGGTACCCAAGAGCGAGAAGGAGAAGCCGGTGTGCAGGAGGAGGTACTACGAAGAAGGGTGGCTGGCCACGGGGAACGGGAGGGGGGTCGTTGGGGTCACCTTCACCTCCAGCCACTGTAGGAGGGACAGGCACACTCCACAGAGGGTCAACTTCAATCTAAGGGGACACAACAGTGAGGTAAGACTTCTGATTTCATTTCTTTGGGTGTAGAATAGGTAGGCCTCACAGACCTGCTTGTGATAAGTGGATGGATGGATGGATGGATGGCTCGCTCGATAGATTGAAGGATGGATGGATGGATCGATTGATCGATCCACAGTATTGTGCAAAAGTCTTAGGCAGTCCAAAGAAATGTTTAAAGCTGTTTATCTGGGAAGTAAATGCATTTTTGCTTAGAAGAAAAAAAACACAATTTAACATTAGAACATACGCATATTAAGAGTAACACAGAACACAGAATTTCTTCTGTTCTCCAAAACGTTACTGATACCTACAGTAGTTGGACGGCTGGATGGACACGGCTTCAGTTCCCGAACCTCCTCAGTGGCACCTCAGCCTTTCCATGTACTTGTTAACATTTCACCATCAGCTCCCTTAATTATTTAAACTTATTTAAAAAGTCAAGGAGAAATTTAGTGGCTACACAAGGTGAGCTAGTGGCCAAGCCAGAAACACACGGGTGTTTTGGATGGTCGCTGCAAATACTGGGGTGATTTTAGCAGAGGTTTTAAACCGCTAAGCTGACACACTTTGGCTGGTACAGTATAATAGCATAGTTTTACACCAACATGAAGATCATTTATGGTGAGAACACAAAACTAAAAAGTAGCCCACCAGCTAGTAAAAAAAAAAACAACTGCACATCGGACTACATTTAAATTTTTTTTACAGAACTTAACCCAGTTGGGTAGTAGAAAAAAATGCTGGAGTTCCAGCCCTGACTGCATGTTGCTCTGGCGGCCAGTGGTCAGTCTGTGTGGGCGTCAAGGAGAAGGTTCAGGGTGACAGACCACACGCCTTCGGGGGGGAGGGGGGGGGCGCTTGCACTGGAACAGAACAGAAAGGATCTTGGGTTAAATTAAAATGGAAATAAAAATGGCTGCTCCTGTTTTTGCCTCGAAACAAGGCAAAGACGCCGCTGCTGGGTTTTGTTTGCTCTATTTTTAGCTGTCCTTGAGGTTGATTTAAAAAAAAAAAAAAAGTCATGAAATGCCTTTCAGCCTCATAAACCCACTCATCTGCTTGGTGGTTGTGACATTTTTAAATGTAGTGGCTGAGCTAAAATGGGCCATTTCGGTGTGTATTATATGACAGGTTGGATGCGCTATGGAAAACATTTCTTGCACTTTAAGATGGCATTTAATCTCACACACCAGGATTTAATGTCAGCTTATTTGATTTGAAATGCAGTGTTCTGTTTCACATCTTCCCTCCATCTTTGGCTAACAGTTGAAAAAAAAAATACAGTATATATATTTCTGGTAAATTTTAACACCATTAAAGCACAGTTTCACATTAATCATACATGATGAAAATATTTCCGCATCAAAGACGAACAGATTATATTTGAATGTTGAATTCTTTTTGATTACATCTGAATATAAATTTCAGTCTTGTAAGCACTGAATGCTAATGTATGACCTTAGTTTCATCCATTGGACTCTTTGAGCCCATGATTAAAGTTTTCAGATTTGAATAGACAGGTCTTCAAAGTAAGCCAATAGATAATGACTAATGAATAGATGCACTCAGTGCTGTATTTTTAGCAAAGAGTTATGGGGAGGGGAATGTGTGTGTTTTAGGTTGTCCTGGTGCGCTGGAATGAGCCTTTTCAGAAACTGGCGACTTGTGATCGGGATGGAGGCATATTTGTCTGGATCCAGTACGAGGGCCGGTGGTCCGTGGAGCTGGTAAACGACCGCGGCGCACAGGTGAAATAAGCCAGCCTGCTTTCATGGCTGTTAAAAGATTGCTTGGTGTAGGAGAGGAAGTGGGAGCAGCAAGGACAGATTTGAGTCTCTAAAATGGCTGTAAGAAGATTTTAACGTCAGTTGTTTGTAAGGCTGAATAACGATATTTTGAGGTCGATGAATTTTCGGAGGGAATTCAGAATGAAAGCAAAGAAACAGAAAAGGTAACCTTGAAGTATTTTTAGTTCTGATTCTGAGAATATCTTTTTTTAAATTCATACTTAAATTTATCATGAGCTGTAAAAATGATTTTTTAATGATCATTCCTGTTCTCTTCCCAACAGGTGAGCGACTTTACCTGGTCACACGACGGCACGCAGGCGCTCATCTCGTACCGGGACGGCTTCGTGCTGGTCGGCTCGGTCAGTGGCCAGAGGCACTGGTCCTCGGAGATCAACCTGGAGAGCCAGATCACGTGTGGGATCTGGACCCCCGACGACCAGCAGGTGATTCAGCACTGCGAATTTGGCACACATCCATGGAGGAGGTAGAGAGATCAGAAGAAATTATAACAACGAAAGATATGTGCATAGATAAATATGGCAGGGACATAGTGTTTATATATGTATATTTATATGTGTACTTTGAGGCTGCTATCGTGCATATTTTTGAAATAATAGCTATATTCAAAGGCAATGGATGATTATTCATAAGTACATCAAATGCAGAGCATTTTGAAAATCCATCAATTACATTTTGTTTTATACCGTGAAACGTCTTAAATTGTGGATTATGGTTTTAAATGAGTATCTGCATTATAATTATCTGTATAGATATCATTGCATCTTTTTGTAACCCTAACCCTAATAATGCTGAAGACCCCTTTGATGGTTGTGGGCCGTGCCGCCGCAGGTCCTGTTCGGGACGGCGGATGGTCAGGTGATCGTCATGGACTGTCACGGCCGCATGCTGGCACATGTTCTCCTGCACGAGCTGGACGGTATCATCAGCATGTCCTGGAACTACCCGAACTTCCTGATGGAGGACAGCAGTGAGAGCGACACCGACACAGACGACCACCCCAAGCCTCCAGGTACCTATATGAAGGATCCAGGGGCTCATAAGGTTACTCCTGATGTAAATCACTCCATTTATAAACATGCTGATGCCGCAGGTGCCATTTTAGTTAATGAACTGGCTGGGGGAAGGCTGCTGGTTCCGATCCAAGATGGATTTTGATGATGTACTGAAGGTTCTTCATCTTAAAAGCTTCATTCAATGTATAAAGACATCAGGTAAAGAAGTAAATATGAGTAAGCAAGAGCAGAGATTTCTTTGGATCACTTTGGGGAATGTGTATGAGAATTGTACTGTGTATAAAAATTGTACTGCATTGGTTTTTTGGACGTGTAGTAATTTCCTGAGTGGTGTCACTGTCCACCCTGTTCCCAGCACACACGCAGAAAGCCCTCTTCACGGTCAGCTTCACGTCAGGAAACATCAATTTGATGAATAACTACGACGACCTCTCGCCTGCCACAATCTGCTCAGGGCTCAGAGGTGGGTACGTCTGGATCTTGTCTGGAACAGATTCTACCCTGTATGTGAATTCAGAGAAAATGGACCCAGTTGACATTTTGATGTTACTGAGCTCAGCTTCACAGCAATTGGGATGATGTGCAGGTGATGATGATCTGTCTTCAGTTTTCATTAAATGTTTACTTATGTATTCATTAATAACACAAGTTAAATACTGATCTCATATTTTTCCATTGTTATTGAAGCATGATGCATCTTTCATCCCAAGCAGTTACTATATTTGCCTGTATCTTTTAATTCTGTAAAACTTTGTGAACTACTGAAGTTTACTACTCATGTTTCTTCATTGTTATGACACAGCTTTTGTGTCAAGTAGCGACTATATTTGTTCATAATTTGTACTTCAGAAGTAACGGAGTTTTTACTAAGTATTTGTGCCCTGTCAAGTAAAATTTTACCAAGGTTTTTGAATCTTCTTGAAAACATGTATCGTTAATTAAAATCTGGGAACTCTGAGGGCCAGTTTCCCAAACAAGGATTAAGCCTAGTCTTGGACTAAATTGCAGTATCAATGGAGATTCACCATTGAAACTCAAAGCTAGTCTAGGCTTAGGCTTAATCCTTTACTGGGAAACTGGCCATGAATGTTTAGTCAGCCTGGAATAAGACATTGTGTGGTGTAGCTCCTTTTCTCATATATGGCATATAATATGCCATCACTCACTAGATTTTTTTGTTTTCCTCTGACGGTAGCACATTTGATTATACGACTGGTCTGCTGCCATAGACACTTAGCCTGTTAGCGCGTTAACTCAAAAAGTATTCAATGGATTTTTTTCTTCAAACTTTGCAGACACGTTGTATGGGTAAAGATCTGAAAGTATTCAAAACTTAACACAAATTGATCAAAATTGAAGCAGCGTCACATAATGGTAGTAAAGTGCAGCCTCAAACGCAGATCTTATAAACCTGTTTACATTGAGACAAGTAACACAAAGTTGGGCTTTTAATAAAGATTTTTTTAGAGAGCCTGCGAGAGTGTGTAGGGGGCTAGAGATTACAGAGGATGGGTGACGTGGGAGGAGTATGGATTAGATTTGGGGAGAGGGTGACTGTCTGGGGAATACATTGCTGTTGTTCTGACAGCATGTAGTTTTTCTTTTTAATCTCCTTTCAGATGTAGTTGTGCAGTGGTGTTCCCAGGGGGACCTCCTGGCCGTGGCCGGACTGGAGAGACACAGTCTCCCTGCGGACATTGCCTGCATTTCCTTGGCCAGGAATGTCCTCGTCAAATTCTACAATGTCCATGGTGAGCACATCTACACGCTGGAGACCCCTGCTCAAGTAAGTCCGCTGAAAAGCACTGCTATATGTTATCAGTTGTGTATTACCTGCCTCACCGGTGCTTGAACAAAAGCATCTACCAAATTAAAATGTAACTGTAACTACGGGGTTTGTATTGCCCTGTTTGTATTGCCCTGTTTAAAGGCAATTGCACCTTTTTCAATGGATCTGTGTTCCCTTGTGTAACATAACATAAACAGAATTTAAGATTTCAAATGTTTGTCTAAAGAAGATCTTGAAGGATAAACATACCACGTATTAATTACATTCCATATTTTCTCAGATCTATGAATGAAGATGAGTAAACCGTCTAATTGATGCACTTTATGTACCTGATTATTGTATTTTTGTTGTGATTGGTTGTTTATGTATTTTATATATAAAACATCCAATCATCACCGGCCCCCTTTCAGCGTCCAATCAGCACAGTGTGCTGGGGTCACCGGGACTCACGGCTCTTCCTGGCCTGCGGGCCGGCGCTGTACGTGGTGCGGGTGGAGCACCGGGTGGCCAGCCTGCAGCTGCTGTGCCAGCAGGGCATCGCCAGCGTCCTGCGGGAGGAGAAGGACGTCAGCAAGCTGAACATGCCGTCCCGCCTCTGCTCCTACGTCACCACCGCCTTCATCCCCACCATTAAGGTTCGCGCTGCTGCTTTCAGCTGCTGGTTAGCAGTTGGTGGGCGGTTCTAGGGAAGAAAAACAGAAAAATCAAGAGAAATGATTTGTCAGGAGAGAAGGGATTATCTGTAATCGTGGGCGGTGATTGGAGAGTCTTAAAACTAGGTCTCACCTCTGTATAGATAAATATTTGGGCTGCACAATATCACATTGCGATTATATGCCGCATGCGTAATACCAGGGCTTCAGATGACAGGCGTAAACATTTGTCCAGATACCAGTTTTTCAGTACTATATGGATGTTTACTTACATGCACTTGGTAAACAGATTAGTAGTGTGCCTAAAATATTAGTGGGAGGCATATTATGATGCCCAAAAGTTAGTAATCTGTATAAATTTGGCATATACTTATTTTTAATAAACTATGTCGGACTTTAAACTGCAGAGAGTACCGCTACACTACTGACAAAATACCAGAACAGTAGCATGCGTTGTGCTCTGCTAACAAAATAGAATAAGCATATGGATGTACAGGACTTACTGTGGTTCATGGAGAGCAAGACAGGAGATGGAAGAACTACTCAGGTTGCCGTCAGTGATGAATGATTTGATGCTAGGGGGGATTCTTTGTAAATATTGTTCTGAAAATCTGTTTATAAATGGAATACTAGCATATTTTTCACTATGTGGGGATTTCATACTTCGGAGGGGACGAAAGGGTAGGGGGGAAGTAAAGGCGTTTTTGTCACATGCTAGCCAATTTTTTTGTTGTAATAATCTTCTAACAGTGCTTCCATACTTTTATCCCCAGCCGCCAATTCCGGACCCCAACAACATGCGGGACTTTGTCAGCTATCCCACCGCGGGGAACGAGCGTCTCCACTGCACCATGAAGCGTACGGACGACTGCCCGGAGGAGGGGGGGCCCTGTTACACCCTCTACCTGGAGTACCTGGGCGGCCTGGTGCCCATCCTCAAGGGCCGGCGAATCAGCAAGCTGCGGCCCGAGTTTGTCATCGTGGATCCAAAGGAGAACTTCAGAGCAGGTGCCTGAGCAGCTGGACATTCTCACCACCTTGAGAATTTTTTTCGAGGGAACAAAAAAAAAGCTACAGTGAAATACAATATTTGGGTATTTTGTGCAGAACAATGACATTACCCTAATGTTTCAGGTATGGTACTGGTTAAAAGTTTGGACACATCAGGCCATCTATAAAGGAGAGTAATCGAGTATCACATCACATGACCTGGCCACCTGACCTAAAGAGAGTAGAAATTGTTTTGGACGAGTTTGACCAGAGAGTGAAGGAGAAGAGGCCAATGAGCGCTCAGCATGTACAGTATGTGGCACCTCCTTCAGGACAGCTGGAAAAGCATCCCAGGAGGACACATCATGAAACTGGCTTTGAGACGACAGTAGGGTCAGTGCCCAATGGTGGGATGACGGTGCCAACCACGGGATTAGAACCGGCAACCTTTTGAGTCCCAACCCACAGAGCTGCCCCCCCCAACAAATTATTATTTTTGTTTAATACGTTTTGGGACAGTGTGTAATTCCATACAAGTTATTTTATAGTATTCATAATTATTCTGAAATGTACAAAGTAATACAAATAAACCTTTCTATGAGTAGGAGTGTCCAAAGTTTTGTCTGGTACTGTACATTAAAATTATGTCATTTGCTCTTTTGATTGAATGATTTAAAAAAATATATTTTTCCACAAATGGGTAGTCAAAACAGTTTTACTGATACAATAATGGAAAACTATATAAAATGTTTTTAAATCTTTCAAGTTTATTGCATGTAACACATAAACAATCAATTTGCATGATAAGATGCATTTTTTTTTTGCTAAATTTTTCATATCTTCTTACCTCTTACTTTGGATTTGATTTAAATACTTTTGTTTATTACAGAAACAAATGGTAATATAAATAGTTTACATAATGAAATTGCGTAGAGTCTTTTATTTTTATAAATTAGAGAAAATTGTTATCTTACGGTAATGAGTTTGTGAGAATGACACAGCTACAGTAGCTTTGGAGGAGGACCAGTCCAAGGGGGCTCAAGCATCCAAGCCCCCAGACGCTGGGCAGATTGAAGCCGTGATCTCACTCATCCTTTCCCCCATTTGTATTTTTAGACGAGGTTTACGGAAACAGCCTGATTTCCTCCATGATCGACAGCTGCAACTGTTCCGACTCGAGCGACAACGAGCTGAATGACGACTGGGTTGGAAAGAAATCCTCCAAGTCACTGGGAAACAAGTCACCTAAACCGAGGTATTTGTGCTTTAAAATAACTACAAAGCATTTCTGTCACCCTGTTCTCCTTAAACAGTTGTCCTTCTGAAGGACAGTCAGACGAGTTAATAGCTAACGAGTACTGAAGACCTTTTATTTTCATTCTATAAAACTAAATCAATTTGTAATGTGGGAGTGTGTAGTCATTTGGGAAATACATTTTAATGCAATTTTGAGGAACCTATGTTGGAAAGCGATTTATTGTATTTCTATCTGTAGATGTTAGCAACAACCATATGGTGCAAATATACAAACATAAATGCTGGAAGAATTTCTTGTTTATTTGCCAATAGAATTAATATGGATGTGAGAAAATCGCCTAAGCTATCCAGGGCTGTGCAGGATGTATCCCGGTCACCACGGTTACCTGCTCGGAGCACCGCTATTGGCTCCCCGGGGCTCACATGCAAAGAGTTCCCTCTAGATGACATTACTGAGGTACTGGCTCTGTCACAATGGCAGATAAATTACGGTGTTTTTCTTTTTTTTGCTGTTACAATTAATTGCAGGTCTTTAGTTTAATTGTCTGGAGTTGTATGTCATATAACTGAGAATTTTTTCTTTGTTATACAGCACAATTACCTTGCTCAAGTGACATCCAATATTTGGGGCACGAAGTTTAAAATTGTGGGCCTTGCCTCATTCTTGCCGACAAACCTTGGTGCAGGTAACATTCGTATTATAACAATGTCATTGTACTCTACTGAAGTACTTAATTCAGCATATAAAATCACCAAGTTTATATCATTTAATAATTTTTTCCAGTTATCTATAAGACAAGTCTACTGCACCTCCAGCCCAGACAGATGACTATTTACCTACCAGAAGTGCGAAAGATTTCCCTTGACCTGATGAACCTCCCTGTCTTCAATCCGAACGTCTTCAGTGAGGATGAGGATGACTTACCAGGTATGGAAGTGTGTGGAGATATTTCTGGCTTAACGTACTGACAAATTTTAAATGTTTTATTAGATGTGTATTTGATCAACCAGCATATTATACTGTTGACAGATAAATGTGTGTTTGTATAGTTACGGTCATTCTGTCTTGCTCAGTGACAGGACCCTCTGGAGTTGTTGATGACAATCCTCCCTGCACCGTTAACATCCCCATTGCACCAATCCATAGCCCCGCCCAGGCGATGTCACCTACACAGAGCATTGGACTTGTCCAGTCCCTATTGGCTAGTCAGAATGTTCAGCTCGACGTCCTGACTAATGCTACCGCCAGTGCAGCTGCCATCACTGGGGTCGCTGGGCGTAACCAGGAGACGGGGGCATCGCAGTACAGCTTGCCCACCAGATACTCTGGCCCCGGACAAGTGATCTTCAGCGGGATGGATTTGGGTCGCATTCCGGTTGGGCTACCTCTCGCTCATCAGCAGCAGATTCAGCAGCGCCAGCAGCAGCAACAACAAATGCAGCCGCCGCAGCTAAAACAGCAACAGAAGCCTCCGCAGCAGCAACACACGCTGCATCAGGTGCAGCAGCTGCAGCAGCAGCAGCAACAGATTAAACACCAGCTGCAACAGCAGCAGCAAATGAAGCTGCAGCAGCAGCAGATTCAACAGCAGCAGCAGCAGATCCAGCAGCAGATTCAGGAGATGCGCCAGCAGCAGCAGCAGATGCAGCAGCAGCACCAACAGCTGCAGCAGCTCAAGATGCAGTTTCCTTTGCCCCCGCTTGGAGCCGGCCATCCCCAGGTTGTGTTGCCTCAGCCTCAGGTTGTGCTCCAGATACCCCGGTTTCCTGACGAGCACGGACGAGAGAGAAGAGACCAGGAGCATCAGCTGAAAATGAAAGCCCCACACCCATCCCCACTGCTCGCTGAGGGGGATGCAGCAGTTTTCGCTGCCACTCTGGAGATCAGCAAAATGAACCCTCCGCCCCCTTACCCAGGCACTGTAGGGTCTGTGGTTTCAGTAGCCTCTACAAGCCCTAGTGACAACAGCCACACCGGTCAGCCCCAGTTAGATCTTTGCTTAAAAAAGGACTTCCTGCTGTACCCACTGGCCTCCCAGTACCAGACCCCAGTAGGGTACGAGCGGATAACGACTTTCGATAGCAGTGGGAACGTAGAGGAGGTATGCCGTCCTCGCACGAGGCTGGTGTATAACCAGAGCCTGCACCCTCTCCAGGGACCAGGAAGTTCTGCAACTCTGAGGGTAACTTCTTCAGAGAAGAAGAAAATCCAGCTTCCATACACTTCTGCCACTCTCAGTCGGCTCACAATTCCACGATACTCGATACCTACCAGGGATCCACCGCCCTACCCGGATTCAGCAACTACTGCACGGAGTCCTGGCCAGCAGATGGACGCCACGCTTGTTCGTACCACACCACAGTGCAGCATCAGGGAGGGAGCCTTGAATGTCTCTCAGATGTCTGCCAAAACTCTACCAACTAAGTCCAAAGTCAACAGAACTCTAGCAGCCTCCTACCAGCAAAGAGTGTCAAAAGCGTTGCATACTTGTAGCCAGTGTAGTAGCACCAGTGGCAATCCCAGCGTGAATATTAGTAGCGGGAACACCAGTGGGAGCGGCAGTAGTAACGGTATTACAGGTGGGACTATCATGAGGCCAGATTTTACACTGGGAAATGGAGGCCAGCTCAACACTATCATCGTTCACTCAAACAGCGCTTCGCCTCTGACTTCACAGTCCTCCTATAACCTACTCGGCCCTCTCGAGAATGCCAGGGACCGGACAGAGTATGTTAATTCAGCTTTTACTGAGGATGAGGAGGTGAATCCGGAGTGCCAGTTAGAGAAACCTGTCCGGCACTTAACCCTGGGAGAAGTCAGCCTGACAGTCAAGCGTCCCCCTCCTTACCAATGGGATACCAGTAGGGCCTCTGAGGAAATCTGGGTTCCTCGGGAACAGACTGTCTTGACTACCCCTCCTGTGCCACATAAAGCACCATCAATCATTCTGAATCCAGACCAGCACTTAAGTGTGTCTCGATTGCCCTTTGGCCTTCCACCACAATCTCCCACTAGTCTCAGTGCCCCCACTTTCCAGTCAGGTTACCAGATTTCTTTGCCCTTTCCTCCAGGTGCCGGTTATAATGGCCCACAACTCCAAACATTGCAGCCTCCTCCACAACCCTGCCCCATCAAGGAAGCCGTGGCGCCTCTCTCCTTCAGTCAGCAAGAGCCTGCCATGGTCCTGCCGCCCAGTTACCCACCAAATTTAGCCAACTTGAGCTGTTGTTCACTGCCACCCATCTACCCAAGTGCCAGTTCCTGCACTGGCCTCCAGCTGCCCCCTGCAGCCATGCATCCTTGGAACATCTATAACCCATGCCCACCCGTACCGAATCCCCCGGAGACACTTCCCAGCAAATCCCACCAGGTGGTGGAAAAGCCGGTCCTTTCGCCGCCCCCTCCTGCTGATCTCCAGAACCATCTCAGGTTCACGGAGGCCATAGCAGAAGCTAGTGACAACCTTCAGGAGGTACTTCCCCTGAATGAGAGCCCAATGCCTCAGAGAATGGAGGAATTTGTCAAAAAGAGCCGCAGGAGTCTTGACAGCCAGGGAGACGAAGCTAATGTTACTCCTGTTGCGCAGGACAAGGGGAAGAAGGAGGGTCGTATGCTCGGTGACTTCAACAACCTCATGTCTAGCCCTGGACTTAGCCGAGAAAAGAAGAAACCCAAGAGCCAGAAGGAGCAGCAAAAGGCAAAGAAGATGAACAAGACGAATGAGTTCCAGGACAGCTCGGAGAGTGAGCCGGAGCTGTTTGTCAGTGGGGATGAACTCATGAACCAGAGCCAGAGTAGCAAGAAAGGTTGGAAAAGCAAGCGGAACCTACGCACTACCAGCGAACTCGAGGAGATCAAGTGCCGCAAAGCGAACGAGAAGGAAGACCGGGGCCTCGGTAGTCAAGGCTTTGTGTATGTCATGGCCAACAAACAACCCCTTTGGAATGAGGCCACACAAGTATATCAGCTAGACTTTGGAGGAAGGGTCACGCAGGAGTCAGCTAAGAACTTCCAGATTGAGTTGGAAGGAAGACAAGTAAGGCTTTATATTTCATTTGCTTTTCCCAGAAGTATATGCTTTGTGTACTATTCAACTGCATTGCATTTATAATTCATGGGATATTTATGGGCTAATTGTGGGTATTTTGTGGGGTCTTTGTATGGTCCGTCTTGTTCCTTCCATTATTTTTCTCAGGTAATGCAGTTCGGCAGAATTGATGGCAACGCCTACATCCTGGATTTTCAGTACCCATTTTCAGCAGTGCAGGCCTTTGCTGTAGCCTTGGCCAATGTGACCCAGCGGCTTAAGTGAAGAGGTATCGGGATTGGTGCAAGAAGAAAATCGGGAGTGATGTGTTGGTTTGTTATGCTGGGGGGGGAGGGGGGGTATAAATAAGGGGTTAGTTTACTGTGGTCACTTTTCAATTTTTATGCTGCTGTAATGTATAGAAGCTGGAGGAACAGCTACCTTATTTACATGCTGCCTTATTTAACTATTTTTATTATAGCAGTTTGTTTTTAAGCTCTTAAATGAAAACCTGCAGTGGAGATTCATTTGTTGAACTACAGCAAATACAGGGGGCTGAAATTAATATATAATAATCCTGTTAAATAATTGTGTATTATTATTATTATGGTATTTAATCATTGTTTAGTTTTTTTTACTATAGGGGTTCCCCAACCTTTTGATGACCACGGACCGGTTTACATTGTGCAAACATTTCACAGACCGGTAAAACTTGTCACTTGGAGGGGGAGGGGGGGGGGAATTGTGTGTTAAAATTTGATGGAATGGACAGTGCAGGTGGCAGATCAATCGGTGGAACAAACTTTATAAGTTATACAGTTTATTTTTGTAAGTTAACCATCCCTTCCCACAATGTCCCAGTGTTCTCTTTCCGGTGGAATACTGGCCATGATGCAGGAGTTGGGGGTCTCTGTGTTAGTACACATTGGTGGCTGATTAGGCACTTAACTGTGACCTAAGAATTCACGTGCACTTTTTCTTACTTTCGCACTTTTCACTGGTTTCTGTATAAAACTGTGTATAGAGCTGGTCCGTCATAGTGTGATTTGGCAAAAAGTATTCAAGATTTAAGGCCAAAGGAAACCTACATGGCAGTCCTTTTCAGAAGCCTGTGCCCCTTAGATATCTAATGTCTGCTAAAGGACAATGTGATAATGTTTAATAACAAACCAAATGACAAACCTCTAAATTCATAAAGTCATTTACAGTGGTACCTCGGTTCTCAAACTCACTAGAACTCAAATTTCTTGAAAGTCGAACAAACCAGTTTGACCTAGAACTCGATCTGAATATCAGAAGTTGAACCGTGAACGCTGACCTGATATAAATTGTACGTGCCAGGAAATGAGTCATACTACAATGCAATTCTTACTTGAATGCCTTCTTCACAGACTGGACACTTAACCAAATAAAGCAGCGCAACATTACAGTAACTAACAAATAAAACACTAACTTACATGTACTATTAGAGCATTTATGTCATTTATTTAAACTTTATTTTACCAGGTAAATTAACTGAAAACCAGTTCTCACTGCTTTATGTGAAATTCGGGAGAAATAGCAGATTACGCATCGGAACTGCCTGGGATACAAACGTCATGCATGTAACTAAACTCTTCAGCCAATAAGGGCAAAGATGTGTCATCACGGAGGCAGTTCCAGTTTGTGCAGCCGGGTGAGAGGTCGCAATGCATCTAACCGTAATGCATTGGGTCAGGATCAGAATGCGTTGCTTTAAGTCAGCGCTGTAAGCAAGTCGAACGCACCCAATGACCGGACTGGGGAAACAAACTGAAACGCGGACTTAATACAGAGGACTAATGACAACAACCAGAAACAGCTGATCACATGGGGATCCCACATGAGGTTAACGAGGGGGCGTGGCACACGGAAGGAGCGGACGATCGGGGCAGGACAGGGGTAATGTTGGGATAAGATCTTTATCGTTTTGGAAGCCATTAAGAAAAAAATGCTCTTGTTTTATCCTGTTCATTTTGTGTTTAAATGCTATAAAAATAAAAAAAAGACATATTTAGGTGCAATTTTGGGGGGCCAGGAACCAATTAATTAATTGGTTTTCCATTATTTCTTATTGGTAAAATTCGATCAGAACTCAAACTTTTTAGGATTCGATCCGCAGTCTGGAACGGATTAAGTTCGAGAACCAAGATTCCACTGTATTTTTAAGTTTTGGAAAATAAAAATTGCTGTGTTTGACAGCTCAGTATTTAATAGGCCTTAATATGTTGCCAATCATAATTATAAATTTTATTCTGATGTCAGTATAAAACATTTTGGACTTTATAAGTTGCACAAAAATGTATGTTCTATGCTCTGTGTTGTAACATTGTTTCAATGAATTTAAGTTAAATTTTAAATGTATTTATTATAGGAAAGTGAGTAATTTATTGAAATGATTATTTTGCTTAAGCTTTTCCCCAAAATATATTTTTACTTCGTTTATCTAAGTGGGAATTTTTTAGTTTATTGGATTATTAGTGAAATGCAAATGATTAGAAATATGAGTTACTACAATATAAAAGGAATGTATTCGGGCTAGGAATAATTTTACAAAATGTTAAACAGGTGACGTCGTCTTCACTGTTGTTACTGAAAAAGCAGTAATATAACGTTGCATGAAGAGAATTTATTGAAAATCAGTAACATGATAATAAACAAGTTAAGCATAAATTAAAATTTAACACCAGCTTATAATATAATTTCTGATTAAATATGCAAGTGCCAATGAGCCGGGGGGGGGGGGGTGATGGATACCAAACAAGGTCTGTTTTCTGCATGTTCTGCCTTAGGATTTGGCTCTTGGTACTTATAACCAAATGTTGAAGGTAGAATCAGACCAAATATTGCCTGCTGGATGTTTGTGACACTATGGACTGTGTTGCATATATATATGCTCAATCCTGTCAAAAATAACAGGGAACTAGATTTCAAAAGAAACTAACGACAGTTGGACCAAAGTTTGGCTTTGATCGCTTAATTATGAGGAGTAAGAAATTAATAGTAAATGTTTTGAATATTTATCAATGAGAAAGAATGAAACTGGCGTGACTTTGCTGCTAAATTGTGCCAAGGTGACGTAAGGCTATAAACATGATGCACGTCTCCTGTCACAGCGATGGTGAGCTCAACCATTAATGCCGCATTTCCCAACCCAGTCCTTGGGGACCCACAGCCGTTCCACATTTTTGCTCCCTCCCAGCTCCCTGCCAGACAGTGCACATTTTTGCTCCCTCCCAGCTCCCAAGGACCGGATTGGGAAACACTGCGCTAGAGGACCAGAATGACCTTCATGCTTTTTGTAAGGCTGAGTTGGGTTTTGATGCTGGTCTCTGCAAAACTGAAATGTTCTGATGTTGTTCCCCACTGACCAAACCCACATTCCTGTTATCAGTGAAGCTGTTTCCTAACTTTTGGTCAGATCGTGCATATTTTATAAATATGAATAAAACTGGTAAGTGAGCAGAGAAATTCACAAGGGAAGAATTCAGAACATGAAAGCAGCTTATTGTTCTTGAGATCTGTTAAAATCCCACATTTTGTTTAATGTTTTGTGAATATATTTTTTACCAATCAACAGTCATAGTACCTACTTTATAGGCATTTAACTTTTTTTTAAAGCAAATTAGAAAACTTTTAAAAATGTAAATATACTGTAATCTACAGTATCTCTTATCACTTCTGTGAAGTCATTGACTAGGAGCATTGAATTTATACCTCAGTAGCCAGTGTATAATCTTTTTCACATATATCATCCATGCCAAGTCAGACTATTTTAGTAACTGTTTTTCACGAGTTTTACCATGCTCTATTGGTTTTTTAAATGTCTTGGTTGACAAACTTTGTATAATTAAATTAGTGTATGTTCAAAACAATCCAAGTATTAACAAACTGCATTGAGCTGTTGACAGAATATTTGCGGATGTTGCCCTATAATCTTGGATGCAGTGTTTCAAGACAATCCGAATTCTAAATATTGTATTTTGTTTTACATTGATTTCCAATACTGATGATGTCCATGATCAGACTTCTGAGCTTGCTTTTTCACACTGGGCAATTAAAAGAGAAGGGAGAGTGTCACCTATGCATACATAATGATAGGCCATTCTTTTGGATAAGCATGTAGTGCTTGTCCAAAACCAGCTTTAAATGCATATTTTTTTGTATCTCCTTAAACTAAAAAAAGATAGTTGTATAGGATATGTTACCCCAACCTGTAAAGCAACTTTGTGTCCATTCCATAAAAACTTCACTCCACTTTTTAATGTATATATGCTCTGTTTGTTAAAGTCTCATGCAGTTTGTAATATTAAAAATGCTATAACAGTGTGAACGCTAACCCTGATTGGATGAGCAGCTACTAATGATGGCTGATGAATGATTTTGATTGGATCGATCTGACTTTCCTGGAATGTGTACTGGAAGTGAGCTTAGCTTTGTTTTTAAGAAGACATTGAGTGGCTGTCTTCTTTTTAACCAGCCAAAAGAAGTGCATTGAAAGACATGTTGTTATGTAGTATTGATAGTCGCTTCCTTAATTTGTGTGTTTCAGCTCAGAAGAGGTTTAAACAAAAATATGACAGGATATATTATGTTTTTTTGTAGGCTTGTCAGAAAATGGCCATTTATTTACAATATATTTCAGTGTTGACATCTGTTACCTTACGTTTTTCTCTGTACTAAGGAAATTAGTGTAAAAATGTGAGAAATTTGTCTACACAAGTCTGAAAAATGTGCTTAATGACCTTAATCTCTTATTAGTCTGTCTGCCTGTTCAAGAAGGTAGTTATCAATGTATTGTGAAGGCTTGCTGTCAGGTGTTAATTCAAGATAAAATTTCACTGTGGTAGAAAGAAGTAAATACTTGCTTAATCTGTTCAAGTTTAGCGGCAAAGGACGTATGCGTCTAAATGTTTGTGTAATTGTGAGGTTAAACAAGATGTATTAGTGCTGTACCTAAATACACAGATTGTTGCCATTGGTGCAGTAACCAGTACCAGGCCGTATATCCTTTTCAAAAGGCCATGCATAATAGAACTGATGGAAATCTTTTTGATGGTGGATTATTATGCCGTTATTTAAAATTTTTTTTTTATATTTTTGCATTTGTAGGAGTACCTTTTAATTTTTGATTATAGACAGACACAAGACAACTTTAATTTTGAATATTTTTTTTTACTTCTTTTTATATACCTAGAAAAATGCACTTTCATCTTTGGGCAGAAATCTCTTTAGTGGCATTTATAGGCACTTTTTTTAAAATCCAGAAGTGAGGATATGAGGCATGAAATATCACACAACTATAAATAGGCTAATGCTGGAAGATTTTTCTTTTTATTAAAAATGATTTTTTTTTTAAATATCATTACTGCTGTTTTCCCAGTGCTTTGGCAATGAATTTGTTATTGCTGCTGAAAAGTGAGCATTAAGTCACATGGCTTGCATATGCTAGGGGAAACCTTTGTAAATGGGTTTTTTTTAGTACTGTAATAATGCTTTCATGATCTTTTTTCAGGGAAGAATTTTGAATTTATATTTATCTGTTCTGTTTTATCAGGATGAAGGCAATTGCTGTCATATAAATGTAATGTGAAATGCTTTCATTTCCTTCAGTGTATAAAGGAGAATAGCTACTAATAAAAGGTGTCTGTTAGGATTGCTGATTTACTTTTGTTAATATTTGTTAGTTTTGCTTAGAAATTTGTGTCAATTGTTGTTGCTTAATAAAACTTTAGAGTGAGACAAATTTGTATGTGGGAATATCAAAAAAATGCTTTCGTGGTACTCTGTTAGAGATTCTACACATTTAGTTTATCAGCTTGTCAGCTGATTGTCTTGTGACATGAGTTCCAAATAGCAGATTTGTGATTATCTTGATAATGGACCTGTGACACCCTTAATAATAATAATAGAAGCTTCATTGACCTTCATGTGGAAAACGCCTTTACATCTCCACAGCTTGCTTTACGGAGAGAATGCTGTGCACATCGGGCTGCCTAGCTCAAGTACCCACCGAAGCTGGGTTCGAACCGGCGACCCTCTGATTACAAGCACAAAAGTTTAGCCCACTGAGCCACCCGCTGCTGTTGGTAAGATAGGTGAGATCGATAGACACCTTCCTACCTTATATGGTAACTCATTTTAGCTCAATTGGCCTAGGTTGGTCTTAGTAACATATAAACAGTGGCCGTAGCGCTCCCGTTTGACTGATCGACACAAAATTTGGAGGGTCGCTTGGTGCTCGAGCCCTACATTAGTGAGGGAAATTTGGTAATGATTGGCTGAAGCATGCCTGAGATATAGCTTTCTGATTGAAATGTACGTGGCACCAGTATGGTCATGGTTTGGCTTTTGGCCGTACCCTACTGAAAGCTTAAGATTTTTTCTCTAAATCATTAAAAGGACTGTCGCCTGATTTGAATGACAGCAGATTTAAGTAGGTGCGGCAAAAATCATAGGAGGGCAACGAAAAAGCCTGTTTTCAGACAAATATAAATTATGCAAAAATGCAACGATATATAACCAAGTTCCATATGTGTTTAGATTTGCCATGACATTGAAAATTTTTTTTTTTTTTTTATTTTTTTTTTGACATATTTAATTAGACTGGCAATCAATTTCAACTGTAGGCTTGATAGTTCTGTAGAAACTATTTTTACTTCACAGCACCCAAAGCCAGGCTGCGATAACACTGCCCCTAGTGGCTGTATATCAGCATTAGACTGTGTTGTACTTTATACACATCCACTTATGCTCCCATCTACTTAATCACTTCTACATAATACAGTGATTGTCACTGCTAAGCCGACCACATGCAACTGAACCTACTCCCACAACACTCAAGGGTCCTCCAGTTATTGCATGATGTCTTGCTAATATCTCCAACTCCTCAACAAAATTGATTATGCTCCTTATCTCGAACAGTGCATTGGCCTTCAGTGACCTGAAAATAATTCAAGTGTTGCCTGAGCTTTAGCATCATCTTAATGAGCTGTGTCATAGTACTATAGGGTTATACTATATTAATTAAGTGCTTGGTTCAGGTTGTGACCATTGTGACTGCAAGACACTCCTGGCTTAGCATCTCACACATACCATTGGACCTCCAAATCATCCAGAATTCTGCTGTCTATGTTGTTTGATCTGCATAACATCATGGTATCTGCATGCCAGGCTGCTGAGAAAATAATGAGGTTATCCTCACGTTACTGTTCTTCAGGGAAGGACAAACGATTCCTTCATTGTAGTACATTTAAGATTAGATCTCTCAGCCCATATTTTAACAGGACGTTCCTCAACAAGCCTCGACATCCAGCTGAATGATTCTTCAGCAGATGAAACTATGCCATTTTATCAAATCAATCAATATACTGATAAACCTTACTGGATGAATCTATGAATCTGGTCAAACTGTCTGCCAATTTTTCTGGGAACTACACTCTAACGTGGAATTTTAGTATTCATTCTTAGTGTCAAAATATCATATATATGTATGTATGTATACATATATGTGTGTGTGTGTGTGTTTCCATTTAAAACGGCTGAAACAAGGGTCTTTAACTTTGAAATGAATGACCGCTGTATTAAACCGGAAGTGGAATCCTTAAAGGAGTTATATACCGCCCCTGTTGTACAAGCAGTAGTTAAATCGCTTTAAACTGTCAAGCGTTAATACATTGCGGTTTGGGGCAAGTTAGTCGTGTGTTTGTATATAAAGACTAAATAAATTCATTAAAAAAAAATTAATGGGATCGGCGGATGGCTGTTAGAAATGTTAGACGAACCAAAAAGAGCACAACTTATCCCAAAGTTTTGGGATCGATTTAATTAGATTAATTATACGTAATCGTAAGAAATAGGTATAAAATATATCTTACGGCAACGAAAGTAAAAATGGACGATCATATAAACCATGGAGACTCAAAGGAGGTTTCACAGACAGGTACGTAAACAGGAAAAAAAAATCAGTTTTGGAAAAAGGTGCGTTTACTTCCATTTGCACGTCTGTAGATTATATCTGAAGATAAAATAGTTACACCTCGATATAACGTCATGCAGGTTTTGATGGTTAAAAGGTAATGATTTCTGTCTTTCAGTCTTAACGTAAAAAAGCAGCCACAAACTGCAGTAGGAACTACACTGTAATAAGACAAGCCATTTAACAATGCGAGGAATGTTAAGCTGGCCTTTAAACCGCCTCTGAATAGTTGACTAATTTTACCAATAATTTATCTATACTATAGTCGTAACTTATTTATTTGCTTTTAACAGATTCCAGAGCCCCCAATGAATCCGCCGTGTCATTGCGAAGGATGTCCAAACAGCAAATATTCACACTTATATCGATGGCTTCTGTAAATTTCAGCTCGATGATATGCTATTCAATCTTAGGACCATTTTTCCCCAACGAGGTAATTTTTAAAAAATATAATTCACTGTCACTTTGACGCGAGTGACGTTTCACGACGGAGTACCGCGTGAGCTGCACGCATCCTCCCCGCGGCGTTTGCCGACAAACCCGCTCTGTCTACAGCGCAGCGCCGACTTTTCTATGGAGTCGTTGTTTTCGGCACCATGTGTTTGGGAATGCGAGGTACCCGGGGTCAGAAATGCGGCGGCGAAGCAGCGTGCATTCAGTACTCACTGGGCTGCTTTAGGTTGAAGTTAAATCCAATCACTTGAAAGTGTAACATGTTTTGCTGGAGGGTTAATTCATACTGCAACGAGTTATAAATAAAAAGGTGTATTGTAAACATGTAAGGTGTATTGTAAACATGTAAACACCATTATGGAAAGCAAATTTAATCGTCTTTTAAAAACCTGGTTTTTAAAAGATTATTGTTCTACTCACGTTACTTATTCATGTGAGATTTTTTTTCCATTCCCCTCTTTTTTTTTTTTTTTTTTTTTACAGGCGAAGAAAAAAGGAGTGAGTCAGACTATTATTGGCCTTATATTTGGCTGCTACGCAATATTCAATCTGACAGCATCTCTAATCTTGGGTAAATATGTAAGTTGCCCGCTGTATTGTTCATTTACGTTAATAATTACTAACCAGCCTGCATTACTTCATCGCCCCCCCACCAAAACTTTTTTGTAACATTATTATTATTATTATTATTATTATATTTTAATCTATTATATTTAAATATAATAATTATTATTATATTTAAACTTGCCATAAACAATATTGCTGATACTTAAATGGAGAGATTAAAATATAGATCTGGTTGATTAAATATAAAGACTGGAAGAAATCTCAAGGTGGAAACCTGACTCAGTTTGTCTTTTGTTATATTTAATGCTGTTCAAGTCTTACTAGGACTAAGGTACGGTGGCTTAGTGCCTCACGCCTTCAGGGTTGTGGGTTTGAGTCCCACTTGTGCCCTGAGTGTTGAGTTTGCATGGATGGCCGAATTCTTCAGTAGCTATGGTCTGAATATGCAATAATGGAATCGATCTTTAAACTGTTTTATGTTTTTGTTAAATTATGTATCTCTTTTTTGTCACGCTAGTCGTGCATGCTACTGCTTGAAAGTTGGAGAATGCAATAAGTGAAAAATATACAAGAGGATTTATGTGTCATTGTAACTAGCAGAATAAAATACTTGTAGAATAAAAAGCTTGGGGAATATGCTGCAATGTCTATAGAAACACAATTGACTCGACAAAAGAACAGCCATTGTCCTTTTTCATTTTTTTTAACACCATCCTCACCCTGTCCCCACAAAACACTGTGTGTGTGTGTGTGTGTGTGTGTGTGTGTGTGTGTGTGCGCGTAATTTCCAAAGAAAATTAGAAGATATAACAAGCCTGCCTTAAAATCCCAGTTGGACACCCTATGGCTGATCGCATTTTAGAAAAGGAAATTAATCTGCTGACTTCAAAGCTATGCTTCAGTAATGAGTCACAAGAAATTTCATTGAAATGTAGTGGAGTCAAAAGAACAGTATTCGTCTTTGAAATGTAGTGTCAAGTTTTCAATAAAATTCATCCTCAACTAAAGAATAGATACTTGAAAAATGTACTTAAGTACTGAACTCAACTACATGTACTTCGTTATTGTCCACCCCTGGTCACCATTATGTTTATTTTTATATTTTCAGATTGTACAAATTGGACCAAAATTCATGCTAATTTCAGGGCTGTTTGTCTCCTCAGTATGCACTATTCTCTTTGGGTAAGTCATACTTGTCTCTAAGAAATTTTTGAGAAGCGTGCTCAACTTATGACATTCATTTTGGCATGTTTTCAGATTATTTAAGATGTCACTTCTGTTATGTTTAATTTCTGTACTTTTGCTTCAAGCTTGCTGCCTAGCTGCGGTTTTTATCAAAATGTTTGTAGCTGAGAAAAAAGGGTTTTGAGCATCTCTTATGCAGTTAATTTCTATTATGTCCAGCATATTTGATTTGTTGATTATTTACAACCAATGCGGGTATTTCTCCTGTATTCATTTATTTATTCAGTCGTTTGTTTATTTTTGTTCCTTTTTTCTAGTTTGCTTGACAGGTGCCCTGGAATGATAGACTTCATTGTGTTGTGCTTCATCGTGAGGTCTATAGACGCAGTGGGATTTTCTGCTGCCATGACATCATCTTTTGCTATCATCGCGAAAGTGTTTCCTAACAATATAGCGACTGTTGTGGTAAGTGTAATATTCCTAATATGCAGGAAATGTTTACATTGAAATGAACATCAAGCTATGAAAATGAGTTGTGATATGTATGTGAATCTATGGGGTGGAATCCATACTGCTACTTTATACATGTAAATATGTGCATTTTTGTTTTTTTTATTATGCGTGTTTGTTCACTATAAACATTACCTCAATGGGAGTGCAGTTATACAGTTGATTAATCTTTGCATGTTCTTTGTATCGTCCCTCAGAGAGATCTGTTAGAAGTTATAGCCCATTACGTCTGGGACTAATGTTAGTGTGTTAAACCAGTCGTGCATTACGTGCTGTTTTCTCTTTTAGGGCAGCTTGGAGATCTTTACTGGCCTTGGTCTGATTATTGGACCTCCAATGGGTGGCATCTTGTACGAGTCGTTTGGATATGAAGTTCCTTTTATTATTTTGGGATGCTTTGTGCTTCTCATGGTCCCATTCAACATCTTGGTTTTACCAAACCTTAGTAAGTTTTTGTATGATCGTTACACCAACACAAGCTGTTGTCAATTTTTATATTCTATCTCACCTCAGTAAACTGACAGGGCTGTTCAATCTGCTCTGTATCTATCCTCTGAGGAGTTGATTCTTCCATTAAGCACTTAAGTAAAAAAAAAGAGTTATTTACATGCGACATGCCCATATTTTGGCGTTTCTCTGCCTAAAACTCATAAATTACCTCAGTGCACTTAAACGCCACACTTAAGTTGATGGGCAAATACGCTACGCACTTTTTTGACTTAAGTGCATGGGACATTCGACCCATTAAGGATACAGTAAAACTGGTCTAAGTCGCCGGCTTGTAACTCGTTATTGTGCACAAATCGACGCTCAAGCAAAAGTCCCGATTTTTCCTAATGATGTTTCCTTTAAAATTCCTTGTGTAAATCGCCGCTTGTAAGTCGTCAAATTCCCTTAGTCGTCACCTAAATCCCGGTCCCGAACAACACAAGTGAATGGATTTTCCTACCTGTAAGTCGACACCCCAATCGCTGCATTCTCGCCGCCTGCTTGTCACCACGGCAATGTAGAAACGGGGAATCCCCACCTATCGCACTAGTCGCTCCCTGGTCTTAAGTCTCGCGTGTATAGTGCGGTGTAGTAGAGGTATGGTGTTATATTTACTAGTCGGAAAAACGGCGAGATAGACATAAGTCGCCAAAGTGTCGATTTTATAAGTCTGCAAAACGGCGAGTTATATTTACTAGTCGACAAAACGGCGAGATAGACATAAGTCGCCAAAGTGTATCTCGTCAATTCTCTAAGTCGTCACTTTTAAGCTGGTCCCGCGAGTGTCGACTTAGACCGGTTTTACTGTATATACATATGGTTATTTAAGAAATGTGTACTTGTATTGGGCTACCAAAACATAGTTGTTACTGAATTTAAGTAATGGTTCTACTATGTAGGGGGTAGTACGAATTGTGGCTCTATAATTATGTTTGTCATTATGGGGAAATGAATTTGAAAGTATACTGAATATTGTATGATCACTGGTTCAATTATTATTATTTTTTCCCTCCCAGGTGCCTCTCCCACTGGTGGTTCGCTTATCCAGCTGTTTGCCCACCCCAAAATAGTTCTGTTGTGTTTCGTTGTGTTCACGTTGAGCTCAGGTCTGGCTTTCATTGATGCAACTTTGGCCATATTTGCCACAGAGAAGGTAATAGTGGTGTGTCTTTGTGTTTTCCTATATAATAACATTTAATTTAGATAATCCGTTCTTTAAAAAAAAAAAGAAACTCAAAATGAACAAAAGCAGCCTAAGTCGGACTTGTGGTTTTCTGTAATAGGCCTACTGAATATGTACTAATGTGTGTGTGTGTGTGTCTGTATGCGTGTCTGTGTATATATGTGTGTGTATATGTATATATGTTTGTGTATATGTATATATGTGTGTGTGTATAATATATATATATATATATATATATATATATATATATATATATATATATATATATATATATATATATATATATATATATATATACACACATTTTTTTAATTTTCAATTTTTAATTATGTTCTTAATCTTTTGCCTTCACTGCTTAATACACATGCAAAGAACAGTGATCATAGACTTTAAGCCGGATCAAACAGTCATCACCTGATGAGTTTCACACAGCATTTGGCTCGGTGTGACAAGCCAAGCGTATAATGCTCGCCTCACCGCAGCTGTCAGATTTTGCTGATGTATCATTCTAATCAGATTGTTTACAAGCGACAGATTTTTGGACAGTTCAGACGCGACTCTGCTGCACACACAAGCCTGTCATTACGACACTATTCACGCCTAGGAATACTTAGACCATCTAAGTGACACCAATACTCAGTATGACGTTTCTGTGCTTTGGGGATACAGGGCGCCGTTTAATGTTTCAGTATTTAAATAGAATGTGGAGGGTAAGCTCACATGAAAACGAACGAACTCGTTGCTGTTGAGTCTTTAGTAACACTAATGTGTGTGTGACCGCAGGAGCACATGACTTGGATTGAGTGGTAGCTGAATGTGTGGTTTATTGTCCTCCATGTTTTATGACTGCAGTCCTTTTACTGCTCCCAGTGGTTCAATACCGAGGGCTTTGCGGATCTTTGGACTACTGCTTATATCTTTAAGGCTTAGTGAGGACAAAGCAACCCCGCACCGCCCTTGCCGCGGCTCCTGATGCATGACCTGAGTTTCCGCTGCGATACCATGAGACCTGCTCCTTGACCTTCTGTCTTAGAAAGGGTATAAACTTAATGCATCTCTCACAGTTTCAGCTCTCTGCTGGTTTCGTCGGCCTCCTATTGATTGGCGTATCCCTGCCCTACTGCCTTTCCTCGCCTTTACTTGGGTTTGCCAGTGACAAGTATCCCGTAAGTATTACCCATAAGTAATAAATAAGTATCCCGTAAGTAATAAATAAGTATCACGTGTACTAGGTCTATAGGAGTGCAAGGCTGGATTATCTTAGAAATAGTTAGGAAATCTATTGAGATTATGAACAATGTTTTGAGTTTTATTATCTCATGTATTAGGTGCTAAAAGCACATTCAGCAGAATTGCGTCAGCCTGCCTGTGATTGGATATGACACTGACCTATGGTAATGTCCTCCTTGCAGTCCTTAAGGAAGTGGCTGGTGGTCATGGGAGGCATTGGTACCGCAGCTGGATTTTGTTTGCTGGGACCGACCCCTATTTTCCACATCTCCCAGTGGGTCCTGCTCTTTCTGCTTTGACAAACTGCTGAGCAGTTTTAGTGCATTTACCTAAATGTGGTTTAATATTCCTTTGCAGACTCCCCACTGGACATGCTGTACAAAATTTCCTAATTTTTAATCACATGGTCATTGGGTCAGCCCAACCCTTTTTGGGGCCCTAAGCAAAATTTAGTTTGGGGCCACCTGGTGGCCGCTGGGCCCTTAGCAGCCGCTTAGTTCACTTATATGCCTTGGGCCGGCCCTACATGTTTGCACCATTTGTTTACTGAAGTCTAAAAACTGTGCATTAAATTACAGCATTAAAAGCATTTTATGCATTTTAAAGGTGATTAGTCCAGGAAGACACTCAAAACATGAAATGTTTAACGTTTAAAGTTAACCCTAGTCTCAGCTATTGGCGTTTGGATATATCGCCCAAATTTCGGTGATAGTGTGAAGATCTTCCCTCTTCCTTTAGTCAGCTGTGGCTGTTCGTCTTCATGCTGACCATCATTGGCTTTTCTCTGGGCATGACCGGCATCCCTGTCTTCCCTGAGATAATCACCTGCGCATAGTAAGTTTGCTTTATTCAGTATGTAACTGTCGTATTCATAAAGTTTTGACTTGCCAGCCCACAGCATACGGTGCTCGCAGAAAGTATTGAGAGGCTTGCTTAAGTGTCTAAAAATGTTGTATTTCTTTGTTTGCTCGTTTCAGTGAGAATGGTTTTGAGGAGGGTTTGAGCACTTTGGGGCTGGTATCTGGATTGTTTGGAGCAGTGTGGTCTTCTGGGTAAGCTCCTCTTTCTATGATGTATCAGACTTCTAAGAATCTGCTCATTCTTGGCAGAAAGTTAATGAGGAAATTAATGCTGCTTTTGATTTTTGTGAAGTTGCCGTCGCGGTACAATTTCAGCTCTGCTCCTATTTATATTTAAATGTCCCAGTAACCGAAATCTCTCTTCTTGTCTCCCAGAAATGACCTAGGTAATCTGATTTGTAATGACTCTGTGTTTTATTTTCGCAGCATGTTTTTTGGCCCGACATTTGGAGGTTTCATAACCCAGACACTGAGCTTTGAGTGGGCTTCAGCCATCGAGGGAGCAATTGGATTTCTTTCTGTAAGTGTAATTTAAAATTGACAAAAAGTTCTAATGTAGCATAATTCTTTAATGCTTTAAATCCTCTGATGAAATTGAGAAGGAAAAATTACATTTAACCAGTGAGTCAGATACAGGCAGTCCCCAGGTTACGAATGAGATCCATTCCCTAAGTCGGTCTTTAAGTGGAATTTGTAGGAAAGCTGGAAAAATACAGTATGTACTAGTAGTAGTAATTATTATTATAAAGCAATAAGTGATTAAAATAATTTAAGAACTGTACTGCTGAAGCCAAAGGATGTTTTCACAAGCGTCACAAACTAGTGTGTGCATTTGTTATTGCAAACCATTATGTTTAACCTGAATTTTTGTGCAATAGGCTTTAAAGCAGTCCATTCATTCATATGAGTCGTCTGTAACTTGGTCGTTTTGAACCCACAGACTACCTGTTTACATGCAGATTTTGTCTGCTTATGCTTACTTTGTCAGTGTTTATTTTTTTTAATTGTCTTTAGTCATTTCTTCTGGGCACATATTTCTTCTATGAAGTAAGATGGAAAAACAGGTAAGGTTCTAAGAGCCGTAATATGTCTGCATATTCCTCTTACATGGAGATTTGTCCTCTTCCTTAATTCATGACATAGTGTATCGTGATATGACTGAGTGAGTATGTTTTGCACGCTCCGGGGCTAATTTAACCAATCACGTTTGGCCGTATGTTAATCCAAGGTTGCCTCAAGCTGCCCCGAGGCGGGTCCCTGCTGGAGAGAGGGATCCTCTGCTGGGTTAGACCGTACACCAAAGCTCTGCAAACCCAATCAGCCTGACCTGCTGCTTTTACTAAGCATAGAATATCCTTTCACTTAAAAAAAAAAAAAAAAAAATCATTTTTTTTTTTTGCCTGTTTTAGATCCTTGTGTGTTTTTTTTATGATTTTGTTAAAGTAATATCCCTACTAAGTACAATCATGGACCAGTCTTTTATAGTTATTTCATATATGAATAACAAAGTCATGTCCTTTTAAGACTGATTTGTTTCTAGCAATGCAAAGAAGATTGAGTGTTATCAATCATAGGAGACATTAGATGTAACTTAATCTCAATTAAAATAACCTGTTAAACTACAGCCTAACAAGATGCAATCTTTCATTGTATTTTTTTTGCGCCCCCCCCCCCCAAAAAAAAACTAAAACTTTTGTCATGTAATGGGTGTTGTTGCAATAGTATGACCATTGTCTAGTTTCACATTTGCCGTTCAGGATCTTTTTTGATGACTAGTTGTAGATGAATGGGTTTTGCGAATGTGTCTCAATGCACTGTTTCACTTCGTAATGTCTATATTCTATTCATAAAGGGGATTCTTTGGCTGATCATTTGGAGGTTTTGTAGCAAAGAATCTGAATTTTGGGTGGGCTTCAGCCATTGAAGGACATTTTCTTTCTTGCTGTAAGTATATATTTGCTGATTTGATTGTTATTCCTGGTTTTTGGTGAATTTGTATGTTTCATAGAAGCGCCTATGTATGACAAGTTTCTTTAAAAAAATGTTTAATGTTAAAACTTAATCTTCACCCAGCAGCTGAATACTTCTAAGACCTCTTCTTATCTAGGGAAGTTCTTCAAGATAAAATAAAATGGACTTATAACCAGCCAAAGGCAGAGATTAGACCAGGTTAACTTTAACAATAGGACATGTATATTTCATTGAATGCCTACGGCATTGTAACTTGCACTCCTGTTGGACAAAATGTATCGCTGTCAGTGAGTTCATTTGACTGCCATGTGGTTCAGTTAATTGGGTATCTGATCGTATCCCTGTCTAAGGGCCTCAAACAGTTGGACATGCAGCCGCTGGAGAGTGAGATCTTCTTCTGATTCGGACTCCACACGGTGTTCTAGAACCCCAACAGACAAGGGGAATGATTTTCACTAAGTGTAGAATATCCAGGCATTTAAATAACATTGTCCTTTTTCATGCCATGTGTGTATGTGTTTGTTTTTTTTAAATAACCACTTTGTAATACTAAGACCATTATTTATAATGTTTGTTTTATATGTTAAAAGTGCAATGATGATGTAACTTCATTTAAGTACTGTAGCAAAAAGTGTTTTCTAGAAGGTGTTTTTTTTTAACGTTTATAATTTATTTGAACATGACTACTTTTTTTTTCCTGGCACAGCACAGACATTCTGGGAGGCTCTGGATGCCACTTGTATAATCGGCAACTATTCATATCCAAGTTTACATAAAGTAAACTAGAATACAATGTGTAAACTTTTCACATATGCATTGTTGGTGCAATGACTTGCATTGTGTTTTTGCAGAATACCGCATTGGCCTCAGTAGTAGTTATAGTACTATGAATCATTGACTGAAGACTTTGTAATATGTGAAACTTTAAAATAATATTGTATATGTAATATGTGAAACTTGTGCAACCTTCTGACTATTGTCATCTTTGCATTTATGACATAGGCAGTTCTGTTGATTTAAAATAAATTATAGATATGTGTATCTGTTTTATAATGGGTTATTAGTCTATTTTAATTGCCTTATTTGAAATAAAGATTGTAGGAAAACAAGAATATTTGTCAGTTGACTAAAAAGTAAAAAATCAGTGTAGTGCAGGACTGATGTGAATGTATTTCAGAACTGTCATGCAAGGATATGCCAGTTTTACTCTAATTTTGTCAAACTTTGTTCAAGCCTGTATATATACACAATTGTGGGTGCAAATTAGCAGTATTTAAATGTTAATATTATGGGAGAAAATCGTTCGAGACCACTACCTGAGAAAAGTATTAACTGCAAACTGTTTGTTGCTTAATTGTTAATGTTAGTCTGTGAGAAATCACTAGAAACGGTCTATTGTGACTACATCACTTAGTTCATCTTTCGCTTTGCCCATCATACATCATAACCAGCATTCTTGGTAAGATGATATACTTTGTAAGGTTGAGTCATGATTCTTGAAAAGAACTCCAAACTGGTGCATGATTTGCTTTCTTTGTAGCCTACAGTATAAAATTTGAATATGACAAACATGGTAAGAGTTGTTCAGCTAATGTTTGCATATTACTAGTTGCTATTTGATGGTAAATAAGCAATGGTGTAACTTTTTCTCACTCGAACCATATTAGGTAACAGAGGCGGTGAGTCACTACCTATTGAAATGTCATTTGCTGGACTCTTACTCATTTAGTTTCTGATTATCTGGACTATCCCCGCGGAAACGCTGTTGGTGACTTAAAGTAAAATTCCATCCATCCACCTTCCAGCGGCGTATCTTGGTCCGGGTAATGGGGTAAAATTATCTGCCTACTTGTTTTAACCCAGCAGTACAGTATGTGTATTGCAAGTGGTGATGGTAAACATTTTCTACGGTGTCATTCTGCCATCTAGTGGACAGGCAGTATAACGTGGGGTCTCTAACCGTGTCTATGGTAGCAAGATGTCTTATTTTAATACATGTCAATATGAGTATGAGTGGTCCAGACGACATTAGTTGTATGACCGACAATATTGTCAGAATTTTAGTATCGCAAGCGTATGTGCGACACCCATTTTGCTTGCCAGACAGAGTAAGCTGTACAGTAAGTTGCTCATATAAACAATTGCAATACTGGTGCGCCGTCAATAATGACAATTTTAATATTGCATTTCGTGTGTTTACTTCGCTAAAGTACCCAGGAACCACAATAACTGCGTTAAAATTATACAATGCCATTTAGTATTTGCAATCTCCAAACTCTTCTGATAGTTAAGTCCATTTTGCCAGTATTATATATTACTAAATTAAGCTGCCCCACCTACCTAGAAATTTTACTGCAACACGTGGGTAGACTTTATACATATACATGTAGACTGCGGATGTGTACGCGGCGGATGGGAGGTGACTTTTCGGCGAGGGGACCTGTTCATGTCGCTCCCCTAAAGCGGAGCAAGCAGCTTCTCCTCTGCACTCCACTCCCACAGCGGGGACGCGACGTCACGATGGCTCAGCGACAAAGGCGCAGGTACGGTGACTGCAGCCGCTCTCTCCGTGCATGGAAGTGAAGGGATCCTTTTGACAGGCAGAAAAGCAAGTGCTTTCTGTTTTGTTTTTTTTATTCGTGGTGGAAAAAAGTTAGAAATCGTTATTTCAATTGGTTAGGATTCTAAAATATCAGCGGAACTACTCTGATTTAAATTTTATAGTTTCCAGTTTAATTATTATAAACGTGTCCCGTATTGTTTTACAGTGGAAGTTGAATATTCTTTGACCGGAAAACAATCGCACCTATTGCAATTGCCACTATACTGTAATTTAATGTGAACGTAAAATACGAAGATGTTTGGGAAAAACCCTAAATATGACATACAACCTCTCCAGGCGTATGGGTGCCAGCCGCTCTCTGCAGTGTTTATGAACCGTATTTTTAAAGCCTTCTTGCCGGCTTTACTTTCCGATAACATTTCATGAATCTACGAAATTGGTATTGCGATGGTATATGGTTTCGTATCCATGTTTGTTTATTAATACAAGTTCTGGCATTCCGAATAGAAATACATCTAGCGCGTGTTTTCAAACGCAGGAAAGAATTACTTAATAATCTAGGGGAAACTGACCTACTTATCTGTGCACGAAACTTGGTCTGTATACTTTTATTATGGTCTTTTAATGCATTTCCATAAGTTAATACTATTCAGGATATTGCACGTGCATGAAAGTAGTACTACTTGATAACGAAATACATATACAGTATGGGTGCAGTAGGTATGATATGTTTCTAAATACTTTTTCATTTACCTGTATGATGCATGCGTCCTCTAGTGAAATGAAGTCGGCTATGTCAAAATTAGACCGAACTTGGAAAATTACAAAACAGCTCCATCCTGCATGTATCGAACGAATGCGTAAACTTCACAGTAGAAACTTTACATGCCGTATCTGTTTCTTTCTTTTTTTTGGTCTAAGATTTGCAAGGTATCATTCTCGCTTTTGTTTTTGCCCCTGTATGGGCTCCATTTTCCCTCACGGCTCACCGTTTCTGTTGATCAGTGTTTACAGTAGTGAAGACGATGATGAAGAAACGGAGCTGAACGGGCTGGACCCTGATGTCCCAGTAACCAAGAATGGGAAGCACAGCGTAGGGAAGACTCGGTGGACTCGTGAAGAAGTAAGAAAAGGCTCTAATGGACTTTTGCTGGGATTATACTGCAACATTTGTAATGGCTACACAAAAGTGTTCTACTACACATTCATATGATCCTTCGTGTGAGTATGGCGGGGATGCATTAATATAGAGGAGGTAGCCCGGTCCTGTGTGTTATGCTTGTTGTCTCTTTACCGAAACCATTTGTCCTGTTCCATTTAGTGTGGTCCATAGCAATTCATTGCTGTCACTGTCTGCACCTTTGACTGCTTTCCCCGTAGGATGAAAAACTAAGGAAGCTTGTGGAGAATCATGGATCTCAAGACTGGAAGCTTATTGCAAGTTTTATGCCTGTAAGAACTACTGTGCTTTTATGATGATCATCACACACGACTGTGTGGGAGACATCTTGGTTCATTTGGTGTGTATTACTAGGTGCAGAATACAAAAGGCAACACATTTTTTGTAATCGCCATGTCTACGTCTAGTGTTAAGTTACGTCAGCCTCTTCAAATTATACTACATGCAATGCACAAGAGTGATATGGGTGTGGCCATGTTGGGAGAGAGTCTAAGAATGGTTTTTGATTTCTCTAGTGCTTCAAACTTTGGCATGGAAAAAAATAACTTGTGTTTGTCCTGAAGAACCACACAGACGTACAGTGCCACCACCGATGGCAGAAAGTCTTGAATCCAGAACTCATCAAGGGTCCTTGGACTAAAGAAGAAGATAAAAAGGTCTGCATATTTAAATAACCAGCCACTTAATGCTCATTAAAAGCTTCTGAATTCAAAGGTGTTGATGGCACCTTAAGATCTGGGTTCATCACGTGTCATGCAGGTGATCGAGCTCGTCCAGAAGTACGGCCCCAAGCGGTGGTCCGTCATAGCCAAGTACCTGAAAGGCCGTATCGGTAAACAGTGCCGGGAACGGTGGCACAACCACCTGAATCCCGAAGTGAAGAAGACGTCCTGGACGGAGAAGGAGGACCAGATCATCTACCAGGCTCACAAGAAGCTGGGGAACCGATGGGCAGAAATAGCCAAACTTCTGCCTGGAAGGTTGGGGATGTTCCTGCAGCTATTCAGCATCAACAGAAAATATCAACGGCCCACTGTTATAAGGGTGAAATCTTTTTTTGTTTTTATCGTAAGTATGTTTTTGTTTTTTTTTTGCACAGGACTGATAATGCTATTAAGAATCACTGGAATTCCACCATGCGACGGAAGGTTGAGCAGGAGGGTTATCTGCAACACTTGCCCAAAGCTGACTTGCTACATGCAGCCCTAAACTACACCAAAGCAGACCATATAAATGGTTTCGCTCATTACTCTTCTACGTTGAAGTTCCTTGCACAGTCTCCCCTTGAGTTCTATCACGGTGCAGGAACAAAACAGGTAAAGTGTCTTTCCCATTGATTATTTGTAATAATATGTCATTCTAACGCAGTTAACCTGAAGAACATAAAATTCACGTGTCATGTTTTATTCATCCTTCAAATTTTCAGCTATATTGTTGTCTAACTATCACTATTGCTGTTTGTTTCGTTTTACTCTTCTGTTTTTGCCTTCTGATTATACATTTGCATTACATTTACTTTATTTCACGGACACTTTTGTTCAGAGTGATGTATGGAGTGAGACAAATAGCAGATTACAAATAAGAGTGCTACGAAGGACACAACTAGGCATAAGTGCAGCTAGGTTGAGCTTCCAATGAATGCCCAGGTACAAGAGTAAGCAGCACTGGTGCAAGAGCTATACAAATTACAAAAGAGTGATACCTTAGGTAGTGAACAGGAAACCATGATTTTTAAGATTGCAGTCCAGTAATTATCAGGCTTTTTGGGCTCTCCAGAGGATTGGAGGACTGATGATGTCATCGTATTTTGCTGTTAACTTGTGCTCTGTCGAGCAGGATATTGTAACTCAGGGACAAATGCTGGCTTGTCAAAGCAGGGAACGCAGTTGATGACCCAGGGTGGTCATGTTTGGACACACAAATGACCTCCATTCTGTTATGTTTCCACCAAAACCATTTCTCTGTTGGAACCAAGCTCTGTTAGAGGTACTCCTGAGGTATCACCATGCCAACATGCATCTGACTTGGTTGAAAAAAATTAATACTTTGTTAAGATTGTTAGATGGGTTTGTGTATAGCAACGCAGTCATGGTTAAACCTCTAAAGATCAACTTTTTCCTCATGTTTTTGCCGATTTGTAACAGTTGGTCACAATCCACACGTTTCCTCTTTCCTATTTGCCTGTCAATCAAACGCCGTTCCAGTGTTTCAGTTTTTAATTGTGCATTTTTCCTTTTTGCTTTTCAGTGATAGTTTCTTTTATTTTACCCTAGCTGACATTCACAGTAGTTCCTGTTGCCTCTTCAGCCGTTTTCACTTACATTGTCTGACTTGAGGTGCTATTTTTATTTTTTTTTTACATACTCAAAGATCAGAGATATGGAAAGATCAGCAGATTTTACACCCCGGTTATGTGTGTGACACGGTCATGTCACATCCAGCAAAAGCTGCCTGGCAGTTCAAGATCGTTCGAGTTCGTTTTTTTTTTAAGCTTGTAATACAGTATATATGTAACTATGGTATTATTACTCCCGTATTTTAATTTACATGAGGTTTCGCACTGCTCTGACCTGTATTGTTAAACAAAATGTGTAATGCACCATGCTTGTGCATGACATGTTACACAAGATTTCTCTTTTTTAGTGGCGCATTTAGGAAATCTCAGCTAGCTGCCTCTTCGTCTGCCCCTTTTCACTTTTGATTCTCTCCCCAGTTGCCTTTTCCTGCTGGGACGTACATGAACGCCAATGTTCCGCAGCCTGGAACTGCCGCAATACAAGTAAGACGAGTTATTTGGATTAAACTAATAGCGTTCGATGTACCATACCAGGAAAATGGAGTTGCTTTAATGTAAAGTGACAAAATAACATATAGATGTGGGTGGAGTAAGCAGGAAAAACAAGCTCTACCAAACATCATTGCTCTCTATTATTTCTATTGTAAATAAGACAACATAAACTTTAATTTAATTTATTAAGAATAGAGCTTGGCGGGATGATGTCTGGTGACATTCCGGAATAGGGTGCTCACTTTCCTCCCTGGACTCTAATTGCAGAGACACTATGACAGTGAAGATCCAGACAAGGAGAAAAGGGTCAAGGAGATCGAACTGATCCTGATGTCCGCCGAGAATGAGCTGCGATGGCAGCAGGTATTACCGGTGAGAGAGATTCCTGCACAACCCATCGTACTGCCATGCTGAGGCATCATAAGAGAAACGACTTATTTAATAGTTTATAAAACTGCACATGGGTCTTGGTTATAAGTGGTCTGTTTGTTTTAGTATTTGTAGTTTCTTTTGATTTACCTAACATGGATGTGACTTGTTTCCTTTCTCACAATTGAAGCAATACTGTATTTTTGTCAAACTTAGCATAATATGTAGTATTTTTGGGTCACCTAAGTATGCATGCTATTCTTACGTTAGTTTCTTGCAGGCATATAAGATTTACGTAATAGATAAAGTATTTACTTGCACATCTATGATATTAGAGTCCAGCACCACCCAGAATGCAGTTCAGTTAGAAAGCAAGATGGTGATGGGAACATGTGACTGTCTGATGGTCACTGTACAGTAGCTAACAGCCTGTGCAGTGCCTTCTCCAGTGTACAAGCTTGCTAGATCAGTTTTCCTTCCTTATTGTTTATGCAACTTCAGTAACTTACTCTGTACACTTTTGAGGGGAGTTTAATTGGGCTTGAGTGGGGGGATTTTCTGAAAAAGTAATTCTAGCACCATTTTTTGTGGGAAGTTCTCCTCCCACACTTGGTGACAGGCATGTCACACAGCGGACAGCAGCTCAAGGTCTTTTCCATTTTTGTTTTTCTTGCAGATGACTAATAGAATCACTTTTTTAAAAGGTCAAGTTGCCGTAAAATGTACAACATCATGTGTGTTTCTTCATATTACTCTTCTTCCTGAATCCAGTGAAATGAAACCTGTCTCAGCTAAATAAATGCATCAGGAGGAGGATTGTCATGGCTGACCACCAAGCTGTGCTCACTGTTTCAGTTTTACTGTATGATTTGACTGAAGGATGTCGAATACTGGGTAGTTTTTTCTTTTTGCACGAAGAAATGTTTTATCGATCAATTAGCCAGCCACAGATGGCTAAAATAGCGTAGTAATGGGCACTAACTCCAACTGAAAGCTGATTGGTCCCCAGAGTGCCGCTCCCCTGTCACTCACCGATTCAAATATTTTATAGGCTAATGGTAATGTTGACCCTCACCCTGAACAATCATAAAATCCCCCCTTGTGTAGTAACTTAGTATCCCTCTTTTTTTGCTGTCATCTCTTCAGAGACAAATGAATGACTATCCTGAGTGGAACAGGGTGACCTTTCTTGATGGCACACGGACTCACAGGGAGGGACGGACAGCTTCCTCCCTTGGCTTCCCGTACTGGTGGGACGTCCCAGCTTCGCCTCTGGATTACGGCTGCCTTCCGGAGGAGAGTGCCTCCTCGGCCCGGAGCATGGCTGACATCCACTGCGGTGGCCGGGCCGTCTGTCAACCCCCCCTCCCCAAGAACACGGAGTCCTCCATTGATTCTGTACGTTTCCCATTTTTATCATCCCTCTTCAGAGTTTTCCAACTTAGCCAGTTTCGCAGGTGTAAGATGATGGATGTTGAATGAATGAATGAATTTTTACTCTGGTTCTTTTATAGTAACTTCAAAATCATAATAATTTCCTCATACAAATAAAATCCAACAATAGCTGAGAAACAGAAAGGTTTAGGCTGAAGCCCAAGCTCATTTTTGCCTACCCTGTACTTTCAAACCAAAATGACAATTATAAACAGCAGCTAAAAGTACAATACAATACAAAACAATGTTCATTTGCTAGCCAAAATTGTTTTCTGAATGGCAAAAAAAAACCACTCAGCATTGTTAGAAATTTTGCATTCCATTCTTTTATCATATATTACAGTTCATTCATTTCATCCATCCATTTTTGCAACCACTTTCAATACATAACTCATGGCCAGCATATCCCAAGAGACTCCAGAGATATGACAGGTTACACTCTGGATGGGATGCCAGTCCATTGCGGGGCCCAGACCCGCTAACAAGGACTCGCTAAGTGAAATTCAGGGACATGGATTCACAGATATCCCCTTTGGATCATGTGAGGTGTTTACATTTGCATGATTGCCATACGCATGCTTTCTGTTTCCTTCTACACATGGAATGGAGTCATAAATCAGGCCTATGAACTGGGAGATGACAGGAGTACCTGATGTGCCACAGAACTGCCCAAACATTAAGATTAATAATGCATTTAATGTAGCATTTGTTTTTTAGACCTATACAACTACCTATACCAACACTACGATTTGTGAAATTTGTATTGTATCGTTCTTTGTCATCTTCAGATCTTCACTAGTCGGGACCACCCCCCATCATCCCTTGCTGTTGGGAGCACCCAAAGGTCATCACCCTCTACATGTGTCATGTCTTCAAAATACAATTGACTTACACCCTGGTTGTAAAAGCCACTTGCTTGATCCACTCCGAATCTCTTGTGACGTTCTCTCCTTGTTGAAACTCAGAATGGCGAACATTCAGCGGTCGGTAATTGAGATGCCCCTCTCCAATTCCTCTCCCATCAGTCCGGTGCTGGATCTTGCCGAAATGGAGTATGGATCCTTAAAGATGCCGGTGAGAGCCTTAAGGCATTTTGCCTTTCATTGGCACATTACTGCTCATAAAGTTCCTAACCAGGCATTCAACACTGTAGCATTTTTAGAAATCACTCTTTTTCTGCCTAATATTAAGTAAACTAATGATTGAGATTTTATTTTCACACTCAGTCCCAAAATCTACACCTTAAAGCAAACCTAATTAAAGATGAATCTACTGGATCTGAAATAGCTACAGGGATCCAAGCCGACAGCCCAACTCTTTTGAAAAAAATTAAACGAGGTATGATTTTTTTTAATACATTTGTGCTGCTGAAAATAACTGATATTTCTTAAGGATAAATTAGATTTCGAAAAAACAACTTGTGTTTAGTACTCAGTTAAAATACACCTTCCACATGAGGCTAACCCTTTCACTCGTGTTGCGTTCATGCAGGAAGGAGTGATGTTTCAAAAGACTGACAGTCATTGGACCAGGAACCTGGATCCTGACTTGGGCGAGGCGTAGCCTTAAGTATTTATGAATGAAGCATTAAGAATGTTAGAACATAATGATTTGAAATGATTACCAGAGCTTTATACCATACCAAATAAAGGCAAATGTCAAAGATGTATAGCTAATTCCACCAAAAATGACATTGTGTATATGATGAATATCATTTCTGATAGCTTCTTGAAGTTTTGTCATAAATTTGGCCATAGATTGTACTGTATGGGAAAAATGTTGAACTGTTCATATTTTTATAAAACCAATAAAAGGTAAAGTATTGTTTTGTGACTGTGAAATTTAATATGATTCATAATTTCCTGTATTAGAACATTTTAAATGTTTATGTTCAAAAGAAGAGGAAGGGGAACTACCATACTATAAATTTGTAAAAGACACCGCGCTCTCGTGAAACCTGAACTGTTACTGTTATTTAGTGCCTTTCCTGTGTGGCACAGAGCAGTGGGCTTTACCTCGTTCACCTCAGGAAGCTGCAGCTATGGATTAAACGCTGCACCTCAACTCTGTAATCTATAGTGAAAGGGAGATGAATCTTGTGGGGCGACGGAGATGAGATGGACCAGCAGGATCAGATCAGAAAACAAAGGACCAGAGGAACCGGTGGAGCTTGATGTTCTTGCTTGGCCCACCAGTTCAATGTCTTTGAAGGGAGAAGTGTGTGATAATTTGATCGCTCAATGCTGTGTGTAATACTTACTGCAGCAGGAGTTACTAGTGCTTATTTCATAATAAAGTTATTTTTGAATTTCGTCGGACATGTGTATATATTTTCACAGTTTTGTTGTGCTGGGTCCTGCCACATAGCATCAAGCTCCTAAAACGTTTGTTGATTGCAAAAAAAGTATTGTGCTTTTTCTTGCCACTGTCCAAGTTGATTTAGGTAGATTGTCACCGATATTTTCCCTTAGCTTGCACTTGTATGTCTTCCCATGATGCACTGGTGTCCTTGCTGTGGTGTGCACTACCTGGCACTCTTCCTTTCCCAGGATTTCTTTCAAGGCTCTACTGCACTGGATATCCATTAGATGGATATATTTACTGGTCATAGCTATGGCTGCTTCTATTTATCATTAGCAGATTTACATTATATATAATATTTATATATAAAGATTTATACACAAATCTGGGTCATTATAAAACAAATACCCTTCTATTGCAAGATCAAAGGACTAGGTACTACCAGCGCAAGCACACACACACACACACACACACATATATATATATGATATGCAGTTGTCTTTTCTATGTCTATATATTTTATATAGCCCTTATGTTTTAGGTGATTTCATAATTATTCCACTTTTTCTTCAGAAACTTTGCCTGTCATCAGGAACCTAAGCATTTTTTGCCAAGTGCGATCACTAGTGACTTCCCTACAGTACATTTCACTTTTGCTTTGAATATTGACATTCCCTTAAACCTGTATTGCTGTCATTCTTTCCTGGTGCCATTCCCTCACACCTCATCACTTCCCCTGGGTGGGCTGCTGTCTGGGAGGGGGCATCTTTGGTTTCCACACCCACACCCCCATTTGGAGAATCCCATGTAGGACAGCTTGGGCAGTAGTTGTGGCTTCTAAGCTGTGGGCAGGGTTCTCTTCAGTGGTGCTGTCACAGTGAATACTTGGGGACTGGTTCTTCTCAGTTTACTGAACAGCGGTCTGTTTGTTTGGGGAATTGGAGCATAAATAGAACAGCAAAACCCCACTCTTAAGGAGCCTTTTCACTACCTGCTCACCATCTAACACGCTTTGACTTTGTGGGTCTCCACTGCTTCGGCTGGGAGTTAAATACGAGCCCATCTATTAACTTTAGGCCATTATTTTCAATACTTGGTTGCTCTACATGATTGCTCAAAGGTTGCCCTTTTTTAACCATGATACCAATATCTGTATAAATCCCAAATCAATACTGTAAAACATTCTCATTTAAATATATTACTAAACTCCTTTCAGTGCATGGATTCTGATATTCATTTGGCTTCAGCTGTCACAGAATGTCACCAATACACTCACGTTAGACTTCTATTTTGTGTTTGTTCTGTCCGTCATTTAGCCTAGCCTACGTTTTGTCACCGAGTAATTTAGTAAAGGGATATGAAGTTGCACGTAGGCAAATCATGACTTTAAATAAAAACACGAAATGCAATAATCGCTAAATTATATCACTATCATGTGTCGTATCTGTTATCACGCACACCTGACAATCTTTAGACTGGTATAAATCAGGGGGAGCCAGAGACAGATGCTTCGCCAGGTTGCATCGTTAGCATAGTGGGGGGATGTTGGCTCTGCAGATTCACACTTTTTGTTGTTTAAAACCAAAGTAAGGCCATAACTCACTTCTGCCACTCTACATATCAACTATAGCTTCTCTACATAAACACATGAAATGAGCACGACTGTCCCTCTCCACTAAGTGCCGATACGACACGTCCACTATGCAGCGTACCTTCTCAAAGCGTTTCGTGTGTAATAGTAATGTTAAACATATTTTCATCTAATGTCAAAGTTTGCAAAATGATACAGAATTATACATGTTTAAAAGTCCCGAATTGCGATCAGAGTAGGACAGTTTGATATTGGGAGAACATTATTTAAATACAAACTTATATTAATTATATTAATTAATTGGATAAATGAATCCAAGTTATGGTACGTCCCCCTTAATTGTCCCCCCAGGTCTTACTCCCCTGGGTGTCGCAATATGATACTGATAAAAATATAACAAACAACGTACGTTAGACTGTCTTAGAGCCCTAAAGGTACACGTATTCATCGTGTAATGCTCAGTACATCATTTTCGGTTACGCACAATGAAACCAATTAAACATTTATTGACAATTCACAAGTAGATGTTCAGTGCAGAAAACATTATGCATTATTATCACATTGTCACTGTGAGTTACGATAATGTCGGTTACAGGCAGTCACGATTGGTGATTTTGGAACATTTTCGTTTCCCGATACACCAGCACATTAAAGTGAGTAGTTGATAAGACCAAGACTGGCTGTCGGCTCCGTCATCCTGAACTCGGATCTGTTGCTGGAAACACAGCCAACATGCTATAGCGCATTTGAGACGACGTCAGCAGTGTGTGTGCGACTGCAGCAAAGGCAGAAACAGCTTCTGTAAGTTAGTCTCCCCATGGCATCTATGGCACTATTGCCAAGAAATTCAGACCAAGCTGAAAAAGAAAATAATTATGGCTATAGGGGCGTTTATTGCTACAGATATGCCACCATACTCGGTAGTAGAGAACATGGTATTTAGACAGGATTTAGTTCATTATCATTGTTATGATATTATAGCTTTCATTTTTTTTTTTTTATGTACACATTTTGTGTGCAAATTAGTGTCCGCGTGTCAATCACGCGCGTCTTCACAGCTGGTTCACAGCTGTTTCTAACGGTGTTTGCTTTTGTAGCTTTAATCATTTCAAAACAAATCCATCTGCAAATCTTCCGACCACATATACTGGTCAGGGTCACGGAGGACTCTAGACGTCCATCCCGAGCAGCAACGACAAGGCTGGGGCACATTCTGGATGGGATCCATCATGGGGTAAAACCACTATGACCTACTACCGAAGTGACAGCCTTTTTTATACGGAATTTTAAAATTTCTTTAAAGATACAGTTCACACAGTTCTAGCTGTGGGTATTTCCCAATGAATGTTTCAAAGTGCTAAAATATAGAAAAGTTAATAGAAGTAAATAGTGTAAGCCAATGTACAGTACAGAGTACTGGAGTTATTTTTCAGTGTAACATTAGAAACTGAAAACTTTGGACAAACATTTAAACAAAATGCATTACACTCTTGGTAACAAGAATTCACTTTTTTATTCCAAATGTTGGCTGGTAGATACTACCTTGGTAAAACCAAGATAGTATCTTTCATATAAGGATCAAGAAGTACAACTTCTTATACTGATGTAGCAAACCACTTTCAAAGCAAAATATCTGTAGTGTTCAGTTCTGAGACCCAGCAAGGCAATTTACACATTATTTTAATTTTTTTTACAAAAAAATACATTTATGTGAATGACATTCAATAAAACTAAAAAGCTATTTTAAAACCTACTAAAATGCTTAAATGCAGTCAATTTTCAACTTGTATTCGAAATACAAGTTAAATGGAAAATATTGTCTTATCAATAAATACACTTAAAGCCACTGTAAATGTACAGTGTAAATGACCAGGAATTCCTACCGTTACTAAAAATGAGCACTAACTCCGTTAGGTCATAACTGCTATCACGCGCAGCTAAGGTCCTTCAGTGAACTGTACAGTTTCAGTCTAAAAAGTGGATAAAATAGTGCAATTAATTTTCGGTCACTGCACACAGCGGTGACTGTATGAATGAAAGCGGGCCTTTCCTGAGTGCTCTACTTATCGGCTTCGAAAGCAGAATTGGATCGCCCTCTCTTTGGGAGCGGCCTGCTTGGCTTCCCCTGTGACGTGCTTGGGACGTCAGGGTCTGCAAAGGCAGACTGTCTAGTCGCTGCGACAGACTTCATCTTTTTCTTCTTCTTCTGAACCCTGTAGAAAAAGATTTTTACCACACAGAATGCTGTAGCGCAGCCCGCAAATTTCATTAAAACAACCGTACAACGGAATTATTGGGGAAAACAGAATCTGTTACTCAAGCATGCAGACAGAATAAAGGCGGCGTCGAATTCACTCATACAGAAATACTTTATCTAGCTGGAAGTCGCCAAGCCAACTGCATCCCTGCACTTTGTTACTACGGGAGTAACTACCAAACTTCCGGTGCCTTTCACTTTGACAGGTGACTCATACTGATTGTAAAGAATTTTAAATTACATGTCCGGTGTAATTCATGATAGATGTTGTACACATACGTAGTTTGGCCCTCAGGAACATGGCACTCGTAAAGCAAGCAAGTGCAAGGGGGGGCTGGGGAGAGGGTGCCAAAAGTGTTACCGTGGTACAGAGCGAAAGAGGCAGCTGAGCTCTGCCAGACTCACAGGACAACTGGTGCTTCTGGGTCTGCGTCGTGCTCTGAGATGAACCTCAGCTCTCTGGGTGAGCTCACAGCGCCAGGGATCTGCGGGCGGACCAATCAGAGCGTGAGGTGGGCAGTGAAGATGCTGAGAAATGCCAACGTCGGGATGGCGGCAACTCGTAAAAAATAAAGAAATACATAATAAACAAAATACAACTAAAGAGTAACTGCCGAGCACAAACATCTGTGACAGAAAACAGCAAAAAGAGAACAAACAAAAAAGGATACAGGAAAGATGCAGTAAAGACAGACTTCTTCTTCTACATACAAGATGAATTTTAATTGTACATATTAAAAAATATATTTTTTTTTTGGATACACCGACTCTGCTAGCTAGCAATGAAAATAGGCAATATTTACACTTCACTAATATGTTTATTCTACAGTAAGTCATTAAAAAAAACACATTTGGGGCCTTAAGGTTTTCATGTAGCAAAATAGCTGCTCTTTACCTCATAAGCAACCTTAAAAGAAATGCATTTACTTCCCATTATATGGGTGTGAGTTAGCTGGGTAGTGTAACTGTGCAAACCATGTTAATCACACTTCGGCTACGAACAAGTGTCACTGCATTTTCTCACCATGCAAGGTGTCTGAAGATAATGTCATGGAGTTGTTACAGATTCTCTTAAGAACAACAACAAAACATTTGCAGTTTAGAGCTTACTTATGATCCAAATGAATAATAAGGCTCAGCATTTGGATGCTGTGCTTGGCTGCTTTGTGATTTTTAATTATTTCTGTTCATACCAGTGGAACAGTAGGCATGAGGGCATACTCATATATAAAGGGCGGCGATAACCATGGCATAGATATAGGCTACACACATCAATTTAGCACTTGAGACTAGGAAAATCACTGTATGACAAAACAATTCAGCCTGCTTTCACTGAGGTGTGAAAGTTAAGCATTCAGTAAAGGGACAAAAAACATTTAAGTATCACTTTGACGATGATTCAGTCCGGAGATAACTCCCTTTTGTGGGCAGCCCTCAAAAATCATTAGATGAGATTTTTCTGAATACTTTAGTTTCATTTTACAATATCATTGCCTTATGGTAGAATCTACAAAAAAGTTTTTGCAGGTTTTAAGGGATAGTTTCAGAAGAGAAATTCAGCTGTTTGGACAAAATAGTTGAAACTTTGAAGGTCCTGAAGTCTCATTTTTGTCATTATGTTCACCGTTTCGTTTCTCAGATTTACACTGAAGTAGGTAGTTGCTCTAAAGGGAAATGCAGACAGGAGAGAACTTTTTTTTTGGCACCGTTCAAAAGAAAAATGTGTGAAAGCCTCACATGCGGTGTGCGTGCGTGTGTGTGTGTGTATACGGTATTATACAATATAAACATATTGCATGCGTGCCCACACTAAGAGATGCAGGGTTGAATTCTGCTTCTTATGCACAAACATTTTTTTAAGGTGCAACAGTTTTGTTCATATTCCTCAGAAGTCTGATCTAAAAAAAAAAGTGTCAGAGAAACGTAGACTAGGTCATTGTATAATACCTTTGCCTGGGTCGATTTTTCAGCTGATTGGTTCAGCTGATCTGACACAGAAGAGTCTGTTTCTATGGCTCTGTTCAGATCCTCTTCAAAATCCCCTGAAATGAATGATGGATCAAACGCTTTTCACTGTGCAAAATTAAGGCACTAAATAAATAAATAAATAAAATAAAATAAAATAAAATAAAATAAAATTCTTACTTTGGTCGACCGCATAGTTGGCGGGGAAGTAGCCCTGCCGTCCATCGGCCAGGCACCCAAACCACCAGTTTTCATTATCTTTATAGAGAACTTGGATAACATCACCACGGCACACAGTCAGCTCATCCGATCGATTGGCAGTGTAGTCATAAAGGAAGACGACCTAAAACAGAAACCATGACATCTCAGCTGTGTCAGAGGGTGACAGGCTGGCTTCCCGGAATTCTAAAGAGCCAGTGCATTATCAATTACTAAGTAATTAATCCTCTCCCTAACTTTAATCATTGACTGACTGCTAGTACATGCTACGTTCCATTAAGTTTAAAAAGTAACACACAATAGGTCTACATAATGCTTCAAATGAAACACATCTGAAACACAGGAAATTAAAAATGACTGATTAAAATGGCAGTTTGGGCTCCCAACAGGCAACAACCCCTCTATCCCACAAACGCCTCCACCTAGCTTTCCTACTTCAAACTACGTCTGAGCATAAAACCATACAGGGCACGAAATCATATGACGATACAGTCTACATTTTACTTTCTTTTGGTTGGATGAACTTATTAAAGTCTATACATTACGCAGAATCAGCCCTATCACATTTACCGAGTATGGTCACAGTTAGTAGTCTTATCTGTTACACTTCAACCAGTAGTGGTTAGTGAAGGAAGATAGGCTTGTTACCATAAAAGTGACAAGTCTGTTCCAGAATTGAATGATTTTCAAGAACCTACCCGGTTCTCCAATACCCTCAGAAACCAACTTTGCAAACCCAGAAAGGCCCACTAACCATCAACCCAGTTTGGCTACTGGGGCTACAGACTAAACAAAAACATTACATTCAAAAGTTATCAGGATATTTAACTTCACTGCTTGGTTTAAAACAAGGGGGAGAGAAGAATTTCATATTGATCCATTTTAAAGTTGCACCTTTTTAACCTTTGGAACAACTGAGTCACCTACAGCAGCTAAAAATCCCAGCTTCAGAGAGGTGCG